GGTACCGGTTTCATGGAAGATAATTTTTCAGCGGGCCGGGGGTGGGGAGGGTGGAGTTTCAGGGTGATTCAAGCGCATTGCATTTATTGTGCAGTCAAACCCCTCTGCTGCTGATGGTCTGTATTTGCAGCTGCTTCCCAGCGCTGGCATCACCGCCTCAGCTCCACCCCAGATCATCAGCATTAGACTCTCACAAGGAGCACAACCTAGATCCCGCACACATGCAGTTTACAGTAGGGTTGGCTCCTGTGAGAATCTAATGTCCCCACTGATCTGACAGGAGGCGGACCTTCCTTCACTTGCTCACCTGCTGCTCACCTCCTGCTGTGCAACCCCATTCCTAACTGGCCGTAGACTGGTACTGGTCCACAGCCCTGGGGGTGGGGACCACAGGTTTAGAGTATGCGACGTATGTAAATGAACATGGGTATTGCAATGCAGGGACTGGGCGTTTATACCCTTAGCCAAGAATGGTAAGTTACTCATTTTTGGAATACTTCTGCCAAAACACTGAAAGCAATGTACTAGTCTCCTTTTAGAAGTTTTACACCTTTCCAAGGCAAGCATTCAAATGCATTCAATAGGGAGATAAGCGAGAACCCTGTTAATACCTGGTAGAAGCAAGTAGACATTTAAGTTTATTAGTATAGTATTTACAAGTACAGTATATACATTTATTACTTTGTTTAATATATTAACCCCTTCTATATTCATGTCTTGCTCCTGTTACCTCTTTGAATTATCGAGAAACAGAGCTTGCAACCTACAGTATAGCTCATTTGGCTTATAGCTTAACAGTAATAAAACTAGTTCTTAGCACTGACCCGGTGGCTCTCTGTTGCGTCCCTCCTCCTCCCATCGACCAGCTGATTTAAGATCTCTGTTCTAACCCGAGCGTGTTTATAGTGATTAGGGAAAGTTCAAATTCAGGCTTTGCCACGTGATAGTTTGTTAAGTGACTTAATATTTATGATTATTTCTTTATCTGTAAACAAAAGGGAATGAGTCCATTTAAACCATAAAGATTGCAAGAGCAGTCTGGGAAATTTGCTCCACTCCCTAAAAGTCAGGCGGGGCACGGTGGCTCACGCCTGTAATCCTAGCACTCTGGGAGGCTGAGGTGGGCAGATCACTCAAGGTGAGGAGTTCGAACCCAGCCTGAGCAAGAGTGAGACCCCCGTCTCTACTAAAAATAGAAATTAATTGGCCAACTAAAAATATATAGAAAAAATTAGCCGGGCATAGTGGTGCAGGCCTGTAGTCCCAGCTACTCGGGAGGCTGAGGCAGGAGGATCGCTTGAGCCCAGGAGTTTGAGGTTGCTGTGAGCTAGGTTGATGCCACCGCACTCTAGCCCGGGTAACAGAGTGAGACTCTGACTCAAAAAAATAAAAAGTCAGAATAAAATGGTTGGTCTTATGTTTTATTTTTACAATGTTCATTTAAATATTAGCATAGTGCCATTCCCTTTATTCTTTATCAAATAATTAGTTACATTTTCCTTAAAATAGCATACTTCTAAATAATCTCTATTAGTTTTTGGCATAAAATCTATATTACTGCTAAATAATTTGAGGATGTAATTAATAATCACTTATGCTAAAATCACCTATTTGAAATTATGTATGAGGTTTTCAGAGTTTTCAGTGCTTTGGAAAAGTTTCAAATGCTTCTTTATTTATATATGTTTATTATAAGCTGCAGCATATATCATGTAGCTTTCAAGGATGCTGATATATACTTAATATTTAAAGATGACTTATCCAAAGTTACTCGGTTGTCCAGGATTAGAACCTGGGCCTTTTGCTAACACCTTTTTGCTCTTTTCACTTATATGATGGTTGAATCTGTTAGAATTTCTCTATTTTCATAACCCTATGAAAATACTGTTTGTGTGCTTATTTAGAAAAATAATTATTTAGATCAATCTGTAAGTGCAAAGTAGGAAATGAAAGTTTGTTCTCTGTTTCTAACAATTCTACTCCCCAGAGGAAACCCTTATTAACATATTACCTCATATATGGTCATACTGTTTTCTCTGTATTGATAATTACACATGTAAAGCATAATTTTTAAACCAATAAATTTAAAAAATAATTTGCATATTATAAATGCTGGTCTACACCTGGCTTTTTTTTTTTAGACAGAGTCTCGCTCTGTTGCCCTGGGTATAGTACAGTGGCATCACTACAGCTCACTGCAACCTCAAACTTCTGGGCTCAGGCAGTTCTGCCTCAGCTTCCTGAGTAGCTGGGACCACAGGCACATGCCACGAATGCCCAGCTAATTCTTTTGTTTTTAGTAGAGATGGGGTCTCACTCTTGCTCGGGCAGGTACTGAACTCCTGACCTATTTATTTAATTCATCACCAATGGGTGACATTTCTGTTGGTTCGAATTTTTCAATATGACACATCATGTTTCAGTGAAATCTTTAAGTCTTTGGGCACTTGTTGAATCAATCCCAAGAAATAGAAATCTTATCTTTTGATAGATGTTTCCAAACTGCCTCTCAAAATGGTTGTATCAATCTTTACTTCCACTGTCAAGTTGAGCAGTTTTCATGTATTTCTTATCCTGCCCATTTTTTCCCTCCAAACTCTTTTTCTAACAGTCATATAAACTATCTTTTTTTTTTTTTTTTTTTTTGAGACAGAGTCTCGCTTTGTTGCCCAGGCTAGAGTGAGTGCCATGGCGTCCTAGCTCACAGCAACCTCAAACTCCTGGGCTTGAGTGATCCTTCTGCCTCAGCCTCCCGGGTAGCTGGGACTACAGGCATGCGCCACCATGCCCGGCTAATTTTTTATATATATATCAGTTGGCCAATTAATTTCTTTCTATTTATAGTAGAGACGGGGTCTCGCTCTTGCTCAGGCTGGTTTTGAACTCCTGACCTTGAGCAATCCGCCCGCCTCGGCCTCCCAAGAGCTAGGATTACAGGCGTGACATATAAACTATCTTTTACAGACTGTATTCACATCAATTATTTCTTCTTTTCAGAAATAGGTGTAAGCATGTCTAACATGGAATGTGTAGCTGTAGTTCTCATTGTGAAACGACAGCCTAATTATTTCAAATTGTAATTTAAAATTCATATTTTAAGGAAATTTTCTCAGATTAATTCCATCTAGTTTTAGGTACTGTAGTCCCAAGATTTCTTTGTAACAAATTAAATATAGGCAACATGACTAAAATTTTGTTTTATAGTACTTCAATATTAGAACTTTGTTTTGAAATGTAATTTTGGATTGGGAACCCACAAGTCGTACCTTGAAGTCAGTATTTTTTTTTTTATTATCTTTGTATCTCCTATACTATATAGAAAACTGCTATTCATATACAAAATTCTCAATAAGTATCTTCAGTTGAGTGTGGTATGTGCTGTACAGATTTTAGATCATGAGTTGGCAGTTGGCAAATTATGGCCCATGTGCTAAATCCCGCCCTTCACCTGTTTCGTAAATAGAGTTTTATTGAAACACATTCATACCCATTCATTTACATATGTGTATGATTTGTTTTGTACTCCTGCGGCAGAGTTGAGTAGTTGCAACTGTGTGGCTTCGAAAGCCCAAAATACTCTCTGGCTCTTTGCCGAACCCTATTTTAGATTATAAGCACTTTGGCATTAATATGTTGTTGTTTTCTTTCTGTAGCACATAGTAAGATGTTCTACCCACATTGTGCATAATTTATGGATTTATTCAAGGATTTATGCAAGTGCAACTGCAGAAAAAATTCCTAGAAGTGAACTTGCTGGGTTGAAGAGTATTTGTGTATATTAAATTTTGATAGCTTTTGTCTTCCCAAAGGGACTATTCTAGTTTATACTTAATAATTTTGTGATAGGGCCTTTTTCCACAACTCTTTTGCCCACTCAGTGTGTTCACACTTTTTTAAATCTTTACTAATCTGATTTAGGAAAATGATATTGTGGGTTTCATTTGTATTTCTTTTTATGGGTTAGATTGATCTTTTTTTCATGTTTAAAAGCCATTTGTGGCTGGGTGTGGTGGCTCATGCCTCTAATCCTAGCATTCTGGGAGGCCGAGGCGGGCGGATCGTTTGAGCTCAGGAGTTTGAGACCAGCCTGAGCAAGAGTGAGACCCTATCTCTACTAATAAATGGAAAGAAATTAGCTGGACAACTAAAAAATATAAATGTAAAAAAAACAAATTAGCTGGGCATGGTGGCGCGTGCCTGTAGTCCCAGCTGCTCGGGAGGCTGAGGCAGGAGGATTGCTTGAGCCCAGGAGTTTGAGGTTGTTATGAGCTAGGCTAACGCCACGGCACTCTAGCCCAGGCAAGAGAGTGAGACTGTCTCAAAATAAATAAATGAATGAGTGAATGAATAAATAAAAGCTATTTGTATTTCTTTTTCTTGAATTGTCTTTTAATGTCCTTCCTAGTACATTTGTTAAGTATGCTATACTCATATAAGATATACAGTAACCATGTGTCAAAGATTTATTTAACTCTAATGAGGGAACCAGCATGATGACAAGGCTGATTCAGAGGATGATAAATGCAACTGATATGTATATAGGCAGTGAAAGAAAGAAATTTCTTACAGGGCAAAAACAAAGAAATAAACAGAACCACAACTCTAGGGTTATTTTTTTCTACTGGACAGAACTCATTTTTGTTTTGCCAGTGAAAATAACCATTTTCAATTTATCTTCTGCAAGTCATTTTCTAACATTACAGAGTCTATCTCTTAATAGTAAATAGCAAGGCATGTATAGTTCTCTTCTCTAGAGCATCAGATGACTATTAGGCATGCTTGTTGTTGATGCTCTAGTATGACTTTGAAAGGACATGCCAGAATCTTTTTGCCTTATTTTCAGGTTTGGGGCAATTTTTCTTAACACTTTCCTCTATTTAATTGAAATTATTTCAAATGATACAATTTATGTATGATTTACCAATGAACTTCTAAGATGGTTACAGAGCTCACTATTGTCTCTTGTCAAACATACTCACCCTTCTTTTTTTGCTCTCTAGGAACTCATTATACAATGACAAATGGAGGCAGCATTAACAGTTCTACACACTTACTGGATCTTTTGGATGAACCAATTCCAGGTGTTGGTACCTATGATGATTTTCATACTATTGATTGGGTACGAGAAAAATGTAAAGACAGAGAAAGACATAGAAGGGTAAGTTCTGCCAATGATACCAGACTGCCAAAATGTATGTTATAGATTAAAGTAAATATAAATAAATTTCTGCATTTCGTATGTGATATATTTTTTCTCTAAGAGTTTGTATGTTTTGTTTTGTTTTATTTTTAGTTTACTTATACCCCATATCTTTCCAGAAAGGATTTGAGGTAGCTTAAAAACAGAGAAATATTAATACATAAGAAGACAAAAGTAGGAAGGAAAGGGGAAGACACAATGTAAGAGTTGCGGGGAGAGCAAACCAAGTGCAAGATGGGGAGGTCAGCATGATTTTTGGCTTTGAGCAGCCCAGCAGTTAAGGCAAAAGAGGAAACTTGTTGCATAACTCTTATTAAAAAAGAACAAATGTACGAGGAGATGGTTTTGTGGGATTTTGCTGTTTTCTTTTATCCCCCTTTCTAGTATTAGATTCCGAGATAGCTCTCAAATTGGATCCTGAATAAGGCTTATTGAGTGTTGTCATGAATCACTAAATCAAAAAAATTTTTTTGGCTTTAACATAAAATATAATTTATGGATCCTTTTTGTTGGTAATTGTGACTTACTGGCATAATGTAATCCAAAATACATTTTTCGAAAAAGAAAAAAAATATTTTTCAAAAATAGAATTCTAAGTCTCAAAAGACCCTATATAATTTTGGTGTCAGCAATGTACTTGTAAGTGAAAATTACTGTTTATACAAATTAATTATAACCTTTCATATTGTATATATGTGTGAAATCTGAAATTGAAATTAGAATACATTGTTTATGAAAGGTACAGCTTCTAAAATTAATCAGATATTTACCTTTAGGACATCATTGGATAAAAGATACAATATATAAAATCAGTGTTCTAATCCAGTGATTCTTACACTTTTTAGTCTCTAATCAGTGATTCTTACACTTTTTAGTCTCAGATCCTCTTTAAACTCTAAAAGAAGACCCCAGGGAGCTTTTGCCTATATGGGTTATATCAACTGATATTTATCATAGTAGATAGTAAAACCCAGGAATTTTAAAAATACTTACTCATTTAAAAATAACAGTAACAAAAGCCATTACATGTTAACATAAGTAACATTTTTATAAAAAGTAACTATATTTTCCAAATAAAAAATATTTAGCAATAGGATGACATTGTGTTACATTTTTTAATGAATCTCATTGTCTGCCTTAATAAAAGACTTGGATTCTCATATCTGCTTTTTTTTTTTTTTTTTTTTTTTACATTCAGTGTTATCTGTTGTTTTGATTGAAGTATGTGAATAAAATCCAACTTCACAAATAATGTAGTTGGAAAAGCTACAAATATTTTCTTTTTTTTTTTTTTTTGAGACAGAGTCTCACTTTATTGCCCAGGCTAGAGTGAGTGCCGTGGTGTCAGCCTAGCTCACAGCAACCTCAAACTCTTGGGCTCAGGCGATCCTCCTGCCTCAACCTCCCAGGTAGCTGGGACTACAGGCATGTGCCACCATGCCCGGCTAATTTTTTCTATATATATTAGTTGGCCAATTAATTTCTTTCTATTTTTTTATAGTAGAGACGGGGTCTCCCTCTTGCTCAGGTTGGTTTTGAACTCCTGAGCTCAAAAGATCCACCTGCCTCAGCCTCCCAGAGAGCTAGGATTACAGGCATGAGCCACCGTGCCCAGCCTACAAATATTTTCATAATCTTTTTAGATTATCGTGCATCTTTGAATATATCCAATAAAGTGACAAGTGGTAGTTTCATAAAGGTTAGTTGTAACGTACACTCTGAAACTGTATCAATGAACCTTGTCTTCTGTTACATTAAAATCCATCGGATCACCTTGAACTTTCTACATGATTTTTGTAACATCATACAATGATCATTTAGAAAATATTGATTTACCAATTTATGCAGATCTTTCAAATGTTGACACTTTTCATTATACAATATCACAATACAATATAAAAATCATAGTGTTGATATCACCACTGATTTCTTCAGAAAAATCTTTAACTATTGGAACCCACCATCCTCAGAGTGATGAATACAAGTTTTCCAAAATTCTAATTTTTACTTGAAAGCTCCAACTCTATCATTGGAAACAAACACATTTATTTTACTTGAAATGACAGTATTCCTTGGTTCATTACTGAGAAAATACCGGTCAGATTCCCAGCTCTGAAAAACTATAATTCAATGTCCATCTTTCTTTCAAGTAAAACTGGTATTTCATGTAAGTGTCTTTGCAACTCAAATAAATTACACATAACCTCATACTTCGGTATGCAGCAGAAATGCTTTATAGTTCTTATTTCATCACGTAAAATATTAACAGTACTCAGTGATTGAGGCATTATAATTTTTATTGCTTCATTAAAAATGTTCATAAGTGAAACTGGCTCTTATTTTTGTACTGGGGTGCATGGCAGTAAAAAATGTAATGACTACCAATAAATACACTGGGTGCCCCTGCCTGATTCCTAATACGCAGCCAGCAGTTTTGCTATTGCTTTTGCATTTTCAGTAAAAAGGTAACACGGTGAAAACAGACACATAATGTCTTAGTATTGTTATGAATAGTTCTGATCGTGCATACCCCTGGAGAATGTCTCAAGGACTCTCCAGGGTGTCTGTACCATACTTTGAGAACCATTGTTTTAATCCAAAATACCTAAGTGAGACACACTATAAATCCTGTGTCTTGGATGATTATTAGATAAATAAAATTGTACTTAGAGGTATATATTCAAACCATATTGTCTTGCTCCATTAGTGTAAAAGATAGTTATGTGTACCAATTAAAGTTTGAATTTGATTCAATTTAAAATGGTCTATGTCAGACTTTATGTGGTTTGTGGACTCCATGGGCTGTCGAAACCGCAAGGGGGTTTCAGCCTAGGTCCATTTGCTCACCATATAAAGAGCCACTTACTGAAACAATGTAGACTGCCAAGGAAGAAAGGAATTTTTTTAATATGAAAGGAGAATCACCCTAAAATCTGTTTGTCCAATGAATGCATTGGAGCAGGTAGTAGTGTGATCAACAAGGTTGTGGGGCATGGTGAGTCTGCCTGGGGCCCTTTAAAATCTCAACTGTTTTGCAGAAATTCTGCCATTTCTGGGAAACAACTCAAAATTTCAACTAGTTAGTTAAGGGAGAAGATTATAAAAAGACATATAGGGGTAATTGAAATTTGTTCATAGAGCTGGTCACACTTGCACTCAAATCTTGAGGTTCTTATTAAAAATGAAGATATCTGGGTAAATGCTTGTCACCTGGTTTAAAGGTGTAACAACCGTCTAGCATAGTGACTATATCCCAAACTCACCTCTTATGTTATTTAGTTCAGAAAGTACTGTTCTATGAATGGTAACTGAGAAAAATTGCTAGATTCTAGAATTGTGGCTTCTATTCATAGTTTGAAAAACGAAGCGTAAACATTTCTAATTTCAGATCAACAGCAAAAAGAAAGAGTCAGCATGGGAAATGACAAAGAGTCTGTATGATGCGTGGTCAGGATGGCTAGTAGTGACACTAACAGGATTGGCTTCAGGTAAAGAACATTTTTAAAACAATCCTTCTTTAGTTAACAGAACTTCAGTAGTTCTCCCCACCTCCCCTCAATTTTTTTTTTTCAGGTGTACTGTTGGATTTTAAAAAGCATTTTCCTTCTCCTTCAAAAAATCTTCTTAAATGTAAGAATAGGAGGCACGAGACTTCCAAGTCTAGTCTTGGTTCTGTCTCTTTAAGTGTCTATCCAACTTGGTCGGTCTCTCTAGGCTCAGTTTCCCTATCTGTAAAATAAGTGTTTTGGACCAGGTGCCCAGTAAAGTATCTTTTGATGTTAACATCGTAATAGATAGCTAATAATATTTATCAAGTGCTCCTTATGTGTCATGCACAGTTCTAAAAACTTTACACATATTTAAAACTCATGGCAATCCTATGGTGCAAGTGCTGTCATTACCGCCGTTTTACAGAGGAGGGGGCTGAAGCACAAGAGAAGTGAAGCGACTTGACTAAGGCCACATAGCTGGTAAGTGGCCAGGGCAGGGTTTGAATCCAGCCAGGCAAGCTCAAGAGCCTACTCTCAATCACCATGTGGTGTAGCACGGCCACAAAGTCCCTGTGTGTGAGATTTGAGAAATAGAAGTTGAGGATCTGAAAACAAAGGTTAAAGAATGTTTTAATCGCTTTCAGCTTCCACTGTAGAACATTATGTCCAGAAGAACATGAAAAATTAAAATTTTTATGGAGAATGAAGGGAAGCCCTTTTCTCTCTGATATCTCTAATTGGGTGCACCCAAGAATTTGGTGGCCTCTGCGTATGTGACCCATTGATCTTTTTATATAAGAAGGATATACTATAAGAGAGACCATAAATTTGTGTATCTTTTTATTCTATCAGTAAAATAATCTCTCTTACATATATGATTTTCTTTAAGAAAAAAACTACAAATCTGAGTGTTACGAGTTCCACTAATTATTTCTAATTTTTAATGAGATTGACATCATTTTTAAGTCTATTGATTAAGTTTTTGGATTGAAACATATTGGTAAACACCCTAACTTCAATAGCTAGATTTATAAATCTCCTGTCTTTTGAAGATATTTCAGTATCTTTTAAACACTCTTGTTTTGGATCACAATTGATTTGGATGATGTGACTGGCTTTAACTCCAAAGAATAGCAATTTTTATTTTAAAGAATGGCTAGTTACAGTTTTTAAAAAGTAATATAAACTTACTTATATTTAAAATTGAAGATCTTAAATTCATATTAGAGTCCCTAAATGACCCTATATTTATAAGGAGCCCCCTGCTTTTTACCAGTCTTTATAGTTCTCAACTCCAAAAAACGGAGGTTATTTTTTTTACCATCTCCAACGCGTTTTCACAGGGGCGCTGGCTGGGTTGATAGACATCGCTGCTGACTGGATGACCGACCTGAAGGAGGGCATTTGCCTTAGCGCGCTGTGGTATAACCATGAGCAGTGCTGCTGGGGCTCCAATGAAACGACGTTTGAAGAGAGGGACAAATGTCCACAGTGGAAAACCTGGGCAGAATTGATCATAGGTCAAGCAGAGGTGAGCCTCGCTTCGTCTCCAGATAATTGACATACCAAAATGTCTCCAGTTCATTTAACTATAGAATTAATCACATATTGGATGATTGGTTGTACCCACATTAAAGGGGAAAAAAGAAGAAATGTAATAGAGTAGAATGAAAACTATGAGAATAAATTACAGCAAGAAAGAAGTAAGTATTGTTTCAGAACCATTTGTATTACTTGTATTAGTCAACTACATAGTCATGTATGAGTCTACTGGATTCTGATGCAAATATGTTTATTTTGAGTTGTAGGAGAAAAGTGATTGCAGTAGGATCTGTGTAAAGTTAATATGAAGTCAGGTTATTAAAACTAATTTATATCACTAAGGTTAGGAAGTATGGATTATGAAACTATGAATTTTCAAAAAATGTAAGATAAGCCTTTTAAGTGGAGAGAGTTCAGAGATTTTTCTCTGTGGCATTGCAGTGTTATTTTGCCACTCTAATGTTCTGTAAATAACATTCCAGAACTTGTTGTTGGTTTTTTTTTTACATGATCACATATGGATATATTTTTAAATTTTTGTTATAGCTTTAGAGCTAAAAAATATATATTCATTGGTAAAATGTGCAGTGTGCCATTTCTCAGCAGAGGTTGAAGTGTCGCTGAGATGTGTTGGTAACAAGACTTTGGGATCAGGAAAAGGCTAGGAAAAAGATTAAATGAGATTAAGGCTCCTTAGTATGTATAGGAATTAATTTTTGGATTCTATTTAAATATTTTGTTCATGTAAAGATTTTATTATTATCAAAATAACCCAGGAGCCTTTTACACATTTTACCCAAATTTCTTATGTGGTAAACACTTGCATTATTGGTGCGCTGTAAATTAAATTCATATTCTTGAACTATTTGCTTTTTAGGGTCCTGGTTCTTATATCATGAACTACATAATGTACATCTTCTGGGCACTGAGTTTTGCCTTTCTTGCAGTTTCCCTGGTAAAGGTATTTGCCCCATATGCCTGTGGTTCTGGAATTCCAGAGGTAAGCCTGGGTACATCCTGTCATTAAACAATCAGTGCGATGCTTATCTTTTTGCCTGTAGGGGAAAAAAGTAGTTTGGGTGAGGGGAATGGTTGGTTAGTAATATGAAAAAGAAAATTTTAAAAGTATAAGCTGATTGTAGACATTATTGAAAAATAACTCTTCCCTATAGTCATTTTAACATTTACTGTGAAGGTTTATTTATTTATTTTTTTCTCTCACCTCTAATTTAACACATGACCAAGCAGATTTTCAGAAGACTTGGTTTAACATCTGAAGCCTGGAAAAAATATCTTGTGGCCTAAAGTTATTTGATGGATTAGTTGATATTTTTGCTGTTATGACCCTAATTTTAAAACATTCATTCTCTTTTTATAATTGTCTTTGATTAGATAAGTTAATGATTCTTGAATTTGGCCATTGTATACTTTAAGAAAGCAATTGATCATAGTGGGTCAGTATTACAAACTTTTAGGCCTTATTTTTCAATAATAATTTAAGGGAGAATTATACTTAGGATTAACTGTGTTACAGCAAGTGTTACAGTGGATGGTCCTGAGGACAAACCAAGCGGCACTTGGACAAAGTTTTATTTGCAGGTGGGCTCAGAGGGGCCTCGCCACCAAATTCTGGGAACCATCTACCCAATTTTTCCCACTTTTATTAAGTTGGGGTGGTCCGTGGGGTGGGGTATCAGGTGCAGGTTAGTTGATGTGTCAGATAATAGGTTAATATTACGTTGATGCGCCAGGCAGTAGATTCAGTGTTATGCTGATGCCAGGCAATAGACTAGTTGATGGGCCAGGTAACAGGTTAGTGTGTGGGTCTTCCCTGAGTGGTGGGGTCTCAGGTGCCCAAAGTGCCAAGTAATAGATGAGGGTTCCCTTATCAATTGAACTTAATGTGAGCTCATTTCTTTCCCTTTTTTATTTTTCTGTACTTAAATAAGTTACCAGCTTTTTCCTAACATATTTCTTTTTAAAATAAATTGTAATTATTTTTAAAGCTGTATTAAGAATATCTTTAATTAAAGCAGTATCTTGTGATATTTAGCAGTTGTCATTCATCCTTCTTGACATATAGAAAAATATTAGAGATAATTACAGTACTCTGAGAAGGCATAATATTCTTTATTTTTGACACAACATCCAGAATGTATCTAAAATATGTTGCGCTTATTTCTACAACAGAAATTTTCAAATTTGCCTTTTCTTGGTTATATAATTATAACCCTGGTAATTAAAGTTTGTATTCATTTTAACATGGCCTGATTTTTTTTTTATTTTTATTGAGACAGAGTCTCACTTTGTTTCCCAGGCTAGAGTGAGTGCCGTGGCATCAACCTAGCTCACAGCAACCTCAAACTCCTGGGCTCAAGCAATCCTGCTGCCTCAGCTTCTCGAGTAGCTGGGACTATAGGCATGTGCCACCATGCCCGGCTAATTTTTTCTCTATATATTAGTTGACCAATTAATTTCTTTTCTATTTATAGTAGAGACAGGGTCTCACTCTTGCTCAGGCTGGTTTTGAACTCCTGACCTTGAGCAATCTGCCCGCCTCGGCCTCCCAGAGTGCTAGGATTACAGGCTTGAGCCACCGTGCCTGGCCTGGCATGATATCTTGATTTTGTTCATAAGGTTTGCCTTCTAGCCTTGTTTGGGTAGAGAATTAGAATATGATACAGATTTATTATGTGTAGCTTAATAGGTAAAGTTCTTGAAAAATTAACTGTGAATTGTTACATAATTTGTTAAAATGTGCAAGGTAGTTTTTGGAAGTTAAACAAGAGAATAACTTGGATTCATTAAATTCTCATGTTTTTTAAAGGAAACTAAGCTGCTTAATCTTTCTTTTGTAGATTAAAACTATTTTGAGTGGATTCATCATCAGAGGTTACTTGGGAAAATGGACTTTAATGATTAAAACCATCACGTTAGTCCTGGCTGTGGCATCAGGTTTGAGTTTAGGAAAAGAAGGTCCCCTGGTACATGTTGCCTGTTGCTGTGGAAATATCTTTTCCTACCTCTTTCCAAAGTATAGCACAAATGAAGCTAAAAAAAGAGAGGTAAGTGTCTTTTGTAGTTCATTTGACAGAAAAATAATCTGTTTATACAGACTGTCAGTGAAGAATTTCCTAATGTAGAGATCATTTTATATCTAATCTATATTCCAGTTAGAATTTTTATTTGACATTAGTTTGTGTTTCTTTTCCTTTTTCTGAATAATCTCTAACGTCTTTCTGGAATCCATTGCCAGTGCTCAACTGCTCTATTTTAGAGAAGCTTGTGATAGACTAGCTGGTGTCCATTGGGTTTCACTTGAATTTCACAAAGATCTTTCCATTTATTTTCACTTTAAGTTACATCTTTCCTCTTCAGAAGTGTTTTCTAAGGATAACATTGTTTTTACTCTTATTTCTCAACATTAGTATGTCTCTAGGGTTGAGAAATCTTCATAGCTGTGTTTCGCTCCTGGAGGCGTGTCTGTTAGAATGGAAGTGGTTGGTCTCTGATATGTAGAGCTCTATCCAGGACCATGGGGAAGTCCTGAGGGCCTTTAGGATATTTGCTGGATTAAGGTAGTGAAAGCAGTATAGATTCTTAGAAAGATAATTGCATATAAATGCTTAAAGAAATTATATGTGTAATTGGCTTCATGCTGGTAGAAAGTGGGCCAGCGATAGACAGGGAGTTGAAGAGAGAGGACCCAGAAGAGTGTTGGTGGACTTTTTCTCCCTTTAGCTTTACTGTACAGATTCTGGCTGTGGAGACTGTAACTTGAGGAGACGTTATTTGTGCTTTCACAATGAGGGTCTCTGTATTGACAGTAGCAGTGTTTTCAGAGGAATTAGAATAGTGAGAATATATTGAAACTCACCAGGTTTTAAGTTCCCTGGATGTCTTGCTAGGATTTGGAATAGAGTAATTATTAATGGTGAAGCAGTTAGTTCTAAAATCTATAGAAATGATATCCTATTTTAAAATAAACAAAACTCCTCCTTCAAATTCCAGTTAGCTCTCCTCTGGTCTTCTCAAACATACATCTTAAAAGCTGTCTGTGTTCATTGCTTCCTTACATCCTATTCACGTTAATACATCTGGCACTAATATTTTTTGACTGAATAGCGAATATATGAATGACCTGTCCAGCAGGAGAGGGGAAAAAAAACTTTCTAGAATTCATGAATACTTGCCTTTGCTTGGGGAGGAGGGAAATGCTCAAGTTAAATTCATAAGAGGGATTTGGAAAATTCAAGTAACATGACGAATTTTTATTTGGTATTTTTCAATTTATAAGAAATTATGAAATAAGCCACATCCCCTCTCTCTAGGTGCTATCGGCTGCCTCCGCTGCAGGTGTTTCTGTAGCTTTTGGTGCACCAATTGGAGGAGTTCTTTTCAGCCTGGAGGAGGTAGGTGAAAAGTGCATCAATTAAAAGTGTATAGAACTACCATTAAAAATATATTTTGGCACACATTTCAGTTTTATAGCTGATACAACAGAGACTTCATTTTAAGTTTTCAAATTTCTTTTTATATGGTTGTTTTTCACTCATTCTTACATAAAAAGTAATATGCTATATATGTTCCATACCTGGGGAAAAATATCTTTAAAATCTATTTATGTATAAATATTAGTAATTATTTAAAATTTACTTTGTTTACATACATATTTAAAAGTAAGAAGATGTGAATTTGGCTTAATAGAAGACACTTAAAACTCTATTGGCTAAATTATCACCTGTGTTTCTATTTTAAAAGTTTTCATTAATTCTTACAGTTTGTATTATGTGATTATTTCTGTTGCAGTTATTGATGTTTAAGGATATAATTTTAGTCACTTCAGTGGATTTTTTTTTTTTTGGTTTCTCATTGGGTGGGGTTTAAGACTTTTTATTGGTTTACACAAAAATGTGACAAGGAATGTTTTTAAATTTACATTTTTCTTCTAGCTTGTGTTCTGTTCTTCTTTTTTTAATATAGAAGAGGCAAACTAAATATATCTTTATAAGCTAACATGAGTTGGTATGGTACCTTTATTTTTAACTACCATGATTGAATTGGACATGAAATTCATTTTGGGAAAAAAAACAATGCTAGGTATTCTAAATAATTATTAGACACTGATGATCAGTTGGTATTGTGAATTTGTAATGATGTGATAGCCAAACATAAAAAAAATTAATATTTCTCTTATTACAGTAAAGTTCATTACATGTAAATTATAGCTGGGTGTGGTGGCTCACACCTGTAATCTCAGCAACTCAGGAGGCTGAGGCAGAAGGATCCCTTGACCCCAGGAGTTCAGGTCTGCAGTGAGCAATGATCACACCACTGCCCTCCATAGAGAGAGGCTCTGTCTCTAAAAAAAATTAATAAAGTAAAAAAATTCTAACTACAGAAAAATTTAGAATTAGTTGTGGCTAAATTTAGAGATCTGATATTTACCATTCAAGTCATAATATATCAGAAACATTTTATAAAATTAATTTTTCTTTTCTTTTCTTTTTTAGGTTAGCTATTATTTTCCTCTCAAAACTTTGTGGAGATCATTTTTTGCTGCTTTAGTGGCTGCATTTGTTTTGAGATCCATCAATCCATTTGGTAACAGCCGCCTGGTCCTTTTTTATGTGGAGTATCATACACCCTGGTACCTTTTTGAACTGTTTCCTTTTATTCTCCTAGGGGTTTTTGGAGGGCTTTGGGGAGCCTTTTTCATTAGGGCAAATATTGCCTGGTGTCGTCGACGCAAGTCCACGAAATTTGGAAAGTATCCCGTTCTCGAAGTCATCATTGTTGCAGCCATCACGGCTGTGATAGCCTTTCCTAATCCGTACACCAGGCTAAACACCAGCGAACTGATCAAAGAGCTCTTTACAGACTGTGGTCCCCTGGAATCCTCCTCTCTTTGTGACTACAGAAACGACATGAACGCCAGTAAAATTGTCGATGATATTCCTGACCGTCCGGCAGGCATTGGAGTGTATTCGGCTATATGGCAGTTATGCTTAGCACTCATATTCAAAATCATCATGACAGTTTTCACTTTTGGTATTAAGGTAAGTGCTAACGTGAGGTGATTTTAAGTACTCTTGGCGTGTTAAAATTTATGTGTGGAATGACAAATGGAATTTTTATCTGAGAGTTGTTTCATAACTGTAGACTGAAAAAAGTAAACCTTTTGAGTTTAAGTACTGAACAAGATAATTCCATAGGATATATTGTTGAGCATGTTGTTTGTTGCTATGTAACAAACTACCCCAAAACTTAGTGGCTGAAGATAACTACTTATTTTGCTCTTGATACTGGGTCAACAGTTTGGGAAGGGCTGAGCTGGGCATTCTTTGCTTATAGTCTTTCATGCAGTTGTTATCAGACACAGCTAAGGCTGATCGTCTCAGACACTTCATTCAAACATCTAGCACTTGGGCTAGGAAGATTCAGACGGTAGGGGCTAGAACATCTGGGCTCCTGAGATTGATTGGTCTCTCTCTCTCTCTCTCTCTCTCTTTCATTCTCTCTCATTCTCATTTTTCCAGCATGGTGACCTCAAGATAGTTGGATTTCTTACATTGCAGCTTAGGGTTCCAAAAGCAGTTGTCCCAACAACAGGGTTGTTTCTAACCTAGCCCAAGAGGTCATGCAACAGGATTTGTTCTATTCTGTTCATTGAGGTAGGGACATACACTTAGTGGGACAGGTATCAGAGAATTCATGATCGTGTTCTAAAACTTCTTATATTAGTTTCCTATTGCTGCTATGGCAAATTACCACGCACTTAGTGGCTTAAAACCATGCAAATTCATTATCTTATAGTTCTGGAGGTCAGAAGCCTGAAATGGGTCTCACTGGGCTAAAATCAGAATGTCCATAGGGTGTTTGCGGCTGTAGGAGAGAGTCTGTATTTTGCCTTTTTCGGCTTCTAGAGGCTCCCCACATTCCTTGGCTCATAGCCTCCTCCTTCCATCTTGCCAGCATTGGCTGGGCAAGTCTTTCTCTCTTCTCATCACTCTGACACTTTTTGAAATCCACCTTTTAAAAACCCTTATGATTACTTTTGGCCCACCCAGATAATCCAGGATTATTTCCTGTTTTATAGTCAGTTGATTAGCGACTTTTATTCTATCTGCAACATTAATTCCTCTTTGCCCTGGAACATGGCACATTCACAGTCTCTAAGAATTAAGATAAAGCAGGGTGTGGTGGCTCACACCTGTGATCCTACCACTTTAGGGAGGCCAAGGTGGGAGTATTGCTTGAGGCCAGGAGTTCGAGACCAGCCTGGGCAATATAGCAATACCCCATCTCTACAATAAAATAGAAACATTAGCTGGGTATGGTGGTGCACAACTATAATACTCCCAGCTACTCAGGAGGCTGAGGCAAAAGGATCACTTAAGCCGTGAAGTTTGAAGTTGACAGTGAGCTATGATGATGCCATGGCACTGTAACCTGAACAAGACCTTTTCTCAAAAAAACCCCCAAAAGATGGACATCTTGGGAAAGCCATTATGCTGCCTGCCATACCTCTATAGGGTGTTAGCTTGAAAGGACACTGCAGAGTCATTTAAATTCCTAAGCTTAGGAATGCATGCCTTTTTCCATCAAGGATTTAAGGCAGATAGGCCTTATGCCCTGGGGCATCGCTGCTTTTGGATTTATGAAAGTAAGAATAAAATTTGTTGATGAGTGATCTGTAGTAAATACAACTTTCTTATATGACAAACAGTGATATATATGGAGAAGCAGATGGCACTTGATCCTTGTTCTTTAAATTATTCGCCCTATAGTTCACATATTAGTATTTGCTAGTTGACAGCGTTCTTTCACAGGTGTAAATCATGTGGAGTAACAGCTTTATTTGAGTAAGATTGGAGTAGTGTTAGTTTTTGTAGTAAAGTCTCTTTTCTCTTGTCCTCTGTGTTTAGTCCACTGAGTGTCAAGAGTTAATAAAAAAAGCCTTGAAGTTTTGTTTTTTTTCTTGGGAAACCAAGTTGAAGGAGCTGTGAAAGCTCCTTTTTGTACAGTAAATTGGTTTTCTATAAAGTGCAACTTTCTCATCATCAGTTGAACTACAAGAAGCTGAAGGCAATTGGTAGGCCTTTGTTAAGTCCTGCCTTCCACTCAGCTCTGGCTCAAGAATTATAACTGGCAGGAGAGTGCAAAACACGCTTTGATCCTTTCTACTGTGTATGCATTTAATGAGCCTGATAGACTCAGACATGCTGTCATTTTGTGTTCAGTTTGTTTCATATCCAGAACAGTTTATAGCTATTTTGTGTTCAGTTTGTTTCATATCCAGAACAGTTTATAGCTATTAGTCTCTCAGTAGTTTTTAAAAGATCTTGCTTATGGTGTTTACTATTCCTATACCTCATTAAATTTGATCTCTATATATATTTTTTCTTTTTACTTGATTCATATATACAGGCATACCTTGGAGATTTTGTGGGTTTGGTTCCAAAGCACCCCAATAAAGCGGACTTTACAATGAATTTCTTGGTTTCTCAGTGCATATAAAAGTTATATTTACACTATACTGTAGTCTGTTAAGTGTGTAATAGCATTATATTTTTTAAAAATGTCCATACCTTGATTTAAAAATACTTGATTAATAAAAAATGCTAACAATCATCTGAACCTTTAGCAGGTCATAATCATTTTGCTCATGGGGGTCTTGCCTTAATATTGGTGGCTGCTGACTGATCAGGGTGGTGGTTGCTGAAGGCTGGGATAGCTGTGGCAGTTTCTTAAAATAAGACAGCAGTGAAGTTGACTCTTCTTTTTTTTTTTCTTGTGCTATTAAAGTGGAATGACTCTTCCTTTTGTGAAAGATTTCTCTGTAGCATGCATTTGGTAGCATTTTACCCACAGTAGGACTTCTTTCAAAATTGGAATCAATCTTCTCAAACCCTGCTGCTGCTTTATCAACTTAAGTTTAGGAAATATTCTAAATCCTTTGTCAGGTGTATACCAGGTGTATATTCCACCTTAAGCAACCACTTTCTTTGCTCATCCTTAAGAAGCAAATCCTCATCTGTTCAAGTTGTATCATGACATTACAGCAATTCAGTCACATCGTAAGGTTCTACTTCTAATTCTAGTTCTAGTTTTCTTCCTGTTTCTACCACATCTCCAGTGACTTCCTCCACTGAAGGCCTGATCCCCTCAGCGTCATCTATGAGGGTTGGAATCAGTGTCTTGCAAACTCCTATTCATGTTGATATTTTGACCTCTTCCTATGAATCACCAAAGTTCTTAATGGCATTTAGAATGGCAAAAACTTCCAGAAAGTTTTTAACTTACTTTGCCCAGATCTATGAGAGGAATCATTATCTATGGCAGCTATACCCTTACCAAATGTGTTTCTTCAGTAAGACTTCAAAGTTCAAATTTCTCCTTGATCCATGGGCTACTGAGTGGATGTTGTGTTAGCTGGCATGCAAGCAACACTCATCTCCATCAGCGCTCCTAAGAGACCAGGTGCATTGCCAATGAGCAATATTTTGAAAGGAATCTTTTTTTTTTTTGAGTAGTAAGTCTCAACAGTGGGCTTAAAATATTCAATAAACCATGGTTTAAACAGAGGTGGTGTCATCCAGGCTTTGTTGTTCTATTTCTAGAGCATAGACAGAGTAGATTTAGCATAAATCCTTAAGGGCCCTAGGATTTTTGGAATGGTAAATGAGCGCTGGCTTCATCTTAAAGTCACCAGCTGCATTAGTCTTCTAACAAGAGAGTCAGCCTGTCCTTTGAAGCTTTGAAGCCAGGCACTGACTTCTCCTCTCCAGCTATGAAAATCCTAGATGCCATCTTCTTTCAGTAGAAGGTATTTTCATCTACATTGAAAATCTGCTGTTTAGTGTAACCAACTTCATCAGTGATGTTAGCTGGATCTTCTGGATAACTTGGTGTAGCTTCTATGTCAGCACTTGCTGCTTCACCTTGGACTTTTATGTTATGGAATTGGCTTCTTTCCCTAAACCTCATGAACCAACCACTGCTGGCTTCAAACTTTTCTTCTGCAGCTTCCTCACCCCTCTCAGCCTTTACAGAATTGAAGAGAGTTAGGGCCTTGCTCTGGATTAGGCTTTGGTTTAAGGGAATGTTGTGGCTGGTTTGATCTTCTATCCAGACCACTGAAACTCCATCCATATCAGCAATAAGGCTATTTCATTTTCTTATCATTTGTGTGTTCACTGGAGTAGCATTTTTAATATTCTTCAAGAACTTTTCCTTTGCACTGACACCATGGCACAAGAGACCTAGCTTTTGGCCTGTCTTGACTTTCAACATGCCTTCCTCACTAAGCTTAATCATTTCTGCCTTTTGACTTAAAGTGAGAGACATGCGACTATCCCTTTCAGTTGAATTTAGAGGCCACTGTAGAATTATTAACTGGCCTAATTGCAATATTGTTGTGTCTCAGGGAATAAGGAGGCCCGAGGAGACAGAGGGAGGATGTGGGAATGGCCAGTGGGTGGAGCAGTCACGATACACACACTTACTAAGTTTGTTATTGAATGAGCATGGTTTGTGTTGCCATAAAACAGCTACAATAGTAATGTCAGAGATCGTTGACCACAGATCACCATAATAGATATAATAATAATGAAAAAGTTTGGAATATTTTGATAATTACCCAAATGTAACACAGACACACAAAGTGAGCACATTATTAGAAAAATGGCACCAAGAGACGATCTATGCGGCGTCGCTGCAAACTTCCAATTTGTGAAAAACACAATTTCTATGAAGCACAATACAGTGAGGTATGCCAATATGTCACTCAAAATATCTGGGCACTCCGTAAGATTGCCCACTTTATATTGTACCAGATAAGACAAATAGCATCTAATATCTTATTTGTAAATGTGTAGGAAGGACATAATCTTGGGATAAAGTACAGTGCTTCAAACTAGTCAGCTCAGTTTTATTAAAAATACTTAATATAGTGTCCTTTTTTCCCTTTCATTTCACCATGGACTAATGAAAATTTTATTAGGAAATGGCAATAGAGAACCTCTGAGCTAAAGGATAAACAACCCTTGAATTATTTTCTCTTTGTCTTAGAGAATGTGGTTTTGCTAATTTATAATTGAATTCGTGGAATTAAGGTACAAGATTTTGCTCATAGTTTTATTTGTACTAGGATTTTGCTATATGAGTAAGATGTGCAAAGAATCAAAAGCGTTAGAAGCAGATGCACAGCATGTAGGTTTCAGCACGTAAGCGAGGATCCCTGCTCTGTTAAGAGTTCTGCTCTGGTTACAGGTCCCTTCGGGCTTGTTCATCCCCAGCATGGCCATCGGCGCGATCGCAGGAAGGATCGTGGGCATCGCGGTGGAGCAGCTGGCCTACTATCACCACGACTGGTTCATCTTCAAGGAGTGGTGTGAGGTTGGGGCCGACTGCATCACACCTGGCCTGTATGCCATGGTTGGGGCCGCTGCGTGCTTAGGTAACGCGGCTGTGCGTGCTTGTGTGCGGATGGATGCGCTCAAGTCAGAGAAACGAGCGCGTGGGAGCGCGTTCTCAATTCCTGGGTGGATTGGTGGGAGAGGGAAGGGTGCGGGACGGAGGGAGGAATGTTTTATTTATTTATTTATTTAACTTTTTAACTTATCTGTATTTGTTACAAGTTTTAAGTGGATTGTGACATGGGCACTACATTTCTATTCACAAGCCTCACTTTTCTTTTTTTTTTTTTTTTTAAGAGACGGGGTCTCGCTCAGGCTGGTTTTGAACTCCTGACCTTGAGCAATCCGCCCGCCTCGGCCTCCCAAAGTGCTAGGATTACAGGCGTGAGCCACCACGCCTGGCCAAACAAGCCTCACTTTTCAAAACAGTTTTACAACACATATGGGCAGGGCTTATAATTTTGCTCCTCTAAACAGTACTTCTGGCCAGGCATGGTGGCTCATGCCTATAATCCTAGCACTTTGAGAGGCTGAGGCGGTGGATTGTTTGAGCTCTGGAGTTCGAGACCAGCCTGAGCAAGAGCAAGACTCTGTCTCTACCAAAAATAGAAGTTAATTGGACAGCTAGAAATATACAGAAAAAATTAGCCGAGCATGGTGGTACATGCCTGTAGTCCCAGCTACTCGGGAGGCTGAGGCAGGAGGATCGCTTGAGCCCAGGAGTTTGAGGTTGCTGTGAGCTAGGCTGATGCCATGGCACTCTAGCCCAGGCAACAAAGTGAGACTCTGTCTCAAAAAAAGCAATACTTCTTTGGAAAACAAGCCCTGTGTAGAGTTTCAAGTTGCTTTACTTTAAACATACTTATTTCTAGAGGACTAGTAGTACATGCAGGAGAGTGGAATGTTTTAACAGAAACGAACTGTAGTACCATTAGGGTGTTACACAGTACTGGTCCCACAACATTTGTTAATGTAAAAATTTATTGGTAGTTAGCCTGTTTGTAATCTTGGATCTTGGCTTACCTATAACAACTATAACGTGGTACTTAAGATTAGCCTTATAGCAAAGTTTCAGGATAGTTTTACTTTGGGTTCTGCAGTGATTTATTGTTAGCCTTAGTAAAAGATTTATTCATCAGTTCTCTGCCATCTAAGGTGCATTTATAGCAAAATCAAAAAAGGTAGCCACTCATTGTAATGAAAAGCAAAATACCTACATTAAGTATTTAAGAGTCTGTTATCTGGCTGGGCGTGGTGGCTCATGCCTGAAATCCTAGAACTCTGGGAGGCCGAGGCGGGAGGATCGCTTGAGCTCAGGAGTTCAAGACCAGCCTGAGCAAGAGTGAGACCCCATAGAAAATATTAGCCAGGCATGGTGGCGTGCACCTGTAGTTCCAGCTACTTGGGAGGCTGAGGCAGGAGGATCATTTGAGCCCAGGAGTTTGAAGTTGCTGTGAGCTAGGCTGACACCATGGCACTCTAGCCCAGGCTACAGAATAAGACTCTGTCTTAAAAAAAAAAAAAATTATTTCTTCTTATATTTAAAATGTCAGCTAAACTTTGTTTATAACATTAATAGTTAGCACTTTGACTGTTTTTGTTCAGTGACTCGAAATTATGTGATTATTGATCTTTGAAAGTGTGATATCAAGTAAAAGTGAAGGACAGAATAATTTTTGCCAGAGTAGCAAGTATTAGCATCCACTTTCTTCTTAGCACTGTGCTAGATACAGTGAGTGGTACAAAAAGAATAAAACGTGGGCCCAGTCTCAACCACAGTCAAGCTGGGAGACGAGAGCAACACTGAGGATGCACAGCGAGCGATGTGTGACGATCATGTGCAGTGCTCAGAGTCTAGATAGTGCAGGGACGTGGAGGAGAAACGAGCTCAAGCAGTTGGGAAAGGGTGGAACATGAGCCTTATTTTAAAGGATTAGTAGAATTTAAAGAAGAGAGGACTTTGTTGAAGATTATAATGTGAAGACAGAGGAATTGGGATGGGAATAAATTTAGTATTCTGGGGCTTTAAGGAAACTGGCTGTAAGTAGAGTACATTTTGAGTACTTTTGGGAAATGAAGTTGAATTGGTGAGAAACATTATGCAAAGACAACCTGATTTATGTCAAGATGAATTTATATTTGGAATTGGTCAGGTTTGTGGCAGTCTGGCTATGCAATTTTTAGCTTGATGACTTTGGCAAAGTTCCTTTACTACTTTAATGTTTAATTTTCTCATCTATAAAATGGAAATAACAGCTGTTGATCTCCTATGATTATTTTGAGGATTATATGAGATAAAATGCACATAAAGCTGTTAGCATAGTGCCTGGTAAAATAACTGACTGGGATATGCCTGGTGTAGAGTAGATATGTCATATATAGTAGGTTCTTTCTCCCTTCTATTCTTAGGTTAAAAACAAAAAGGAAGAGTTTAAGCTTAATACAGAATGAACTGGTGAGCCTTGGTTGATTCTTTTTGAGCAAAGGAGCAGCCTGGTGAAAATAGGACTTAGGAAAGATTGACCTGGGAGCATGGCTTATAAAGTGGATTGAAGGTAGTGGTCCTGGAGCCAAGGAGGTAAGATAAGATGGCATTAAAATTAAGGAACAGGCCGGGCGCGGTGGCTCACGCCTGTAATCCTAGCACTCTGGGAGGCCGAGGCGGGAGGATTGCTTGAGGTCAGGAGTTCGAAACCAGCCTGAGCAAGAGCGAGACCCCGTCTCTACTATAAATAGAAAAGAAATTAAGTGGCCAACTAATATATATAGAAAAAAACTAGCCGGGCATGGTGGCGCATGCCTGTAGTCCCAGCTACTCGGGAGGCTGAGGCAGGAGGATCACTTGAGCCCAGGAGTTTGAGGTTGCTGTGAGCTAGGCTGACGCCACGGCACTCACTCTAGCCTGGGCAACAAAGCGAGACTCTGTCTCAAAAAAATAAATAAATTAATTAATTAAAAATAAAATAAAATTAAGGAACAAAGTCTTCAGGTTGGTAATAGTGAGACTACTGGGTAAGGGACTCATGGACAGATATTTTGTAGAGGAAACTAGACAGGACTAGGTGACAATCTAAATGTTAGAATAAAGTAAAGGGATGAGCCCAGAATGACACCTAGGTGGTTTGGGAGGGTATGGTACCCAGTGTTGGAGTCAGGGAAGTTGGAATGAGGATCTCTTTGGGGAAGAAGAAGAGTTTGGTGTTGAGTTTGTGTCATTTTTTGTGACAGTGGGTCATCCAAAGTCTTTTTACAGCTGAAAAATGAGACAGACACATTGGTGAGATACGGTATGCATAATTTGAGACATGGAACAAAGGCAACAGTGAGTAGAAAGATGTGGATTAGGGAGGCATCACCATAGAGTGATAGTTGAGAATGGTGATTTGGGTAAATGATGAGTTTTCTCTGGGTGGATATTACTTCCGTTGTTAATATAAATCAGAAGACATCAAAATATTTTACTCATTTTGAAAACATTGAGAGAAATTTATTAAATTAATATTTTACTCACATATGGATTTAATTTGTAAATTAGTAGCAAACAAGATAACCATGGTATGCTTCACCAACTTGGAAATTAATGTAATTTAGAATTACTAATTCACTAATAGAATTAGTAAATAAGGTATTATAAGGGTGAGATTATGTCTTTGCTACAGCAATAAACCAAAATGACAAAACTGTTTCAATCGAGTTTTATATGAAGTAAATAGGTTTTAAAATATTTTTAAAATATTTTAATTTTTTAAATTTAAAATAAAATAAAATATTCTATTAAAATATTTTAATAGTCTTCTTTGTCATAAACAAAGAAGAATTGGTGCTTCTCTAGATCTTTTTAAAAGTAGTAATTATTATCCAAAGAGAGGAGTAGTGATTTTTGATGATGATGCTTTTCTCTAGGTTCTGTTTACAGTTTTGCTTTCAACTGCCTAATGCAAAAATTCTGGTAACACGTAACGATGAGGATCCTGCCTTTCCTGACCCGTGTGCTTATTGTTTCAGGTGGTGTGACAAGGATGACCGTCTCCCTGGTGGTTATTGTTTTTGAGCTCACAGGAGGCTTGGAATATATCGTTCCCCTTATGGCTGCTGTGATGACCAGTAAATGGGTTGGAGATGCCTTCGGTAGGGAAGGCATTTATGAAGCGCACATCCGATTAAATGGATACCCTTTCTTGGATGCGAAAGAAGAATTCACTCATACAACCCTGGCTGCTGATGTCATGAGACCGCGAAGGAACGATCCTCCCTTAGCTGTCCTGACACAGGACAATATGACAGTGGATGATATAGAGAACATGATTAATGAAACCAGCTACAATGGATTTCCTGTCATAATGTCAAAAGAATCTCAGAGATTAGTGGGATTTGCCCTCAGAAGAGACCTGACAATTGCAATAGGTACCTTTTTAAAATACTAAAATACACACACACACACACACACACACACACACACACACACAGACATGCGCGCGCGAGATAGATTTCTAGAAGAAAGGAAAGCAATAGAATTTAATTGGTTGGCTTTGCAAGGGCAAGGGATATTAGTTTGTGTCTCTTTAAAGTCTTATGTTCTCTGGAAAAGGAATTTAAGCTTCAATGGATTTGGTTTTCTGCTAAATATAGCTTTATGTTTTCATTTGACATTGTTAACAGAGGTTAGAGTCAGGTTCTCTTTCCGCAAGCCTTGTTGATGCTGGTTATTCATAATAGCATGTAATATAAGGCCTTAGCCAAATGTATTCCTGTATTTAATAAAGTTGCCTGATTTGAATACAAATTATTAAAAATCCCGTCTTCATCAATCTCTTTAACATTAGATTAACAAAGTTTTGCGGGTGTTAGGTTTACAATATTAATTTATAATATTTAGTTTGAAGTGAAAAAAAATCATTGAGATTTTGTTTGTGGTCAAATGCCAGGTTGAAAAGTATATCAGTCCTGTCGTATTTTAAACCATTGTTCCTGAAAATATAGGTTAGAGGTATTAGCCATACTGTATTATTTCTTGGAGATGAACTAAATTTTTTCTGCAGAGGAACCGGTTGTGTTCCTCCAAAATTTGTTAGTCCTGTGGCATCGATGAGGAAGGCCAGTGAGACTTTTACTCCTTTTCAACACAATCTGGCTCCTCTTTACCCCGATACACTTTCAACCTGGCATTTGAGCAGAAACACTTCAAACTAGATATTATAGTTTTCTGTAATAGAAAAAGAAAAAAGTACTGAAATTAAGAATTATTAATATTCATTATCCCACTAATCCTATGGATATAGTTTTTAAAGTTTTGTCACTGCCTTAAGAGGTAGAATATTGAGATAAGTGATAACATTGGTTTTAGAGAATAGGAGTACTATGGCTGTGTGAGATGTCAGGCCATGTCATCAGAAATGTTAGTCATGTTCCTTTCTGAACACAGCTTAAATGTTTACCCACATATATTTTTGTAAGGTTTTAACTTTTTTTTTTTTTAATATTTTAAATTCTTTTCTTTTTTTCATGCCACATTATAGCTAGATTCACTGATAAAGGTTTTAACTTTTTGATCAGGAAAAACAGACCTGTACACTATGTTTTGAATATATATACACATACATATATATATGTAAAAAATAAAGTTATACTATGTATACTTGATATATATAATACTTCATTGAAGAACAAAAAATTTTCCATGATATCTCACAAATCAGATCATTGAAATATACTAAATTAGATAAATTCCCCTGTTTGATACTAAATCAGAATTTTATAGAATATTAAATCTAAATAAGAAGTCTCAATTTATTTAGGGTCATTAATATAGGAATGCTGGGACTTCTAAAAATAATTTCTGAGTCCATATCAGAAAATGAAAACTGTGATATTCTCTGCTTCAAAGGCTCTTGAATGAATGGCATCAAAAATATTTTAAAAAATTAAACAACCTAGCAGATATCCTGGCAGTTTAGTAAATGTTCAATAAATGATGCTTCTTAAAATAATCCCTGTATTATAAAAATGATACCCATTCAAAAATGTTATTATTTTTAATTGACAAAAAATTATATAGTGACGTTCTGACTTATATACATTGTAGAATGATTAAATCAAGCTAATTAACATACTCATCACCTTACATACTTACTTTTTTTATTTTTTTTATTTTTTTTGTAGAATTTTGCTTTGTAACATACTTACTTTTTGTGGCAAGAACACTTAAAATCTCTCCTTGGCAATTTTTGAATAAATTGAAAGAATAAAAATGGTATTCTTAAATTTGCGAAGTCAAAGAGGCTGAATGTTCACTTCTGGTAACTTGTTTGTAAAAGGAACATTCCAATAAATAAATGAGTTCGTTTTTAAAATTTTTTTTCTAAAATTAGTGTTTTATCATTAAATGTTTGTTTAAACAATCAGTATATTTTCATTGATGGCATGATATTTCTTATTTTATGGGTGTTTAAGATTGATAATTATTTTGTATCATACTTCGCATCTTTTTATTTTTTATATCTATTAACGAATTATTTTAGTTATCTGTTTATCTAAGAACTGAGGTCTCACTCTGTCACCAGGCTGGAGTACAGTGATGTGATCATAGCTCACTGCAGCCTCAAACTCCTGGACTAAAGCAGTCCTCCTGCCTAAGCCTCCAGAATAGCTGGGACTGTAGGCAAGCACCATCCCACTAGGCCTGCTATAATTATTTTTAATACTTTTGTCTTTTAACCTATGCTAGAGTAAAAGTGATTAACACACACACCCTTACAGTATTAGAGTATTCTGAATTTGACTGTATATTTGTGATAACTACCTAACTTCACTTGCATACAAAAACTGTACACTTTTACACTTTTCATTTTGTGAACCCATTAACCGTACATCTCATAGTATTTACACTGCGCCATTCAGTTGTCAGACTCTTCTTATGAGCTAAAACCAACTTAATGGGCGTTTTTCAAAAACCATTCATGTCAGTTGCTAATGGACTTTCTTCTTTTCCATGCCATCCATGGTTATGCTTTTAAGGTGCTCTAGTAAGTACTGGCTGTTAGCACATTGCTTCAGTGCTTTTCTACTCTAATGTGTTACAACACAGTTAAGAAGGCTATAGCAGTCAAAAGGAATTAAGAGCAGTGCAATGTTTACAGTAATGACTGCTTCTCAATTTAGGACTGACGCTTATATTTTGGCTTAGGTATTTTTGTAGCCAAATTCATGCTCAAAACATTTTTACTATAACAAATACCTATTTGTACACACTGAAATACCTATTTGTACATACTCAAATACCTATTTGTACACACTTTGAATAATACTAACTCAGAAACATAAAGCTAATGACCATTTTGTTTTCAAATTCTCCCATTTCCGGGTTTCCCTCTTTGTCCTGTGGTCTCCGACCTTTTCTCCAAGCTGCTACCTCTCGCCTGGCTTTAATGTGGTGGGAGGGGAAGGAGGCAACAAACAGGACAGATGCTCCTGAAGCAGGGCACACTGGATAAGGAGAAATCAGCAGAGCCTTTACAGATGAAACAGCCCGAAAGATCCGGCTGTGTGCATTACACGCATAATTGTGGTCTCAACCCCTCTGTAATGCTTGTGACTCATCTAGAAGATTAGACTTTAACATCAGAAAAGAAAACCAGCTGATTCACAGGGACGGAGCATGCAGCATGGTCAAAGCAAGGGTGAAACTCTCTCAGTCCCACCTCTGGTGAAGTGACCTTCAGCATAGGCAGGCTTCATTCGGTGATGGGTCCCTTAATAAACTGCTCATAATTGGTTCAAGTCTTAAAATCCCATATTCCAAACGTGCCTCCAATATTAGAAAACAGTTTCAGCCCCAGTAAAGCAAATTGTGAAATGGTATAATTATACCAGAAACCATTTTATTTACATGAAGGTGATTTGTTTTTGGTGGATTCTAATTCAATTAAATATAAGAAATTGCTAAATAGCTTTTCATTTGATGCCTTGCTTGGTTAAGGAGACAATAGAAAGTAAAGGGACCAGGCCGGGCGCGGTGGCTCACACCTGTAATCCTAGCACTCAGGGAGTCCGAGGTGGGCGGATTGCTCGAGGTCAGGAGTTTGAAACCAGCGTGACCAAGAGTGAGACCCTGTCTCTACTATAAATACAAAGAAATTAATTGGTCAACTAATATATATAGAAAAAATTAGCCGGGCATGGTGGCGCATGGCTGTAGTCTCAGCTACTCGGGAGGCTGAGGCAGAAGGATTGCTTGAGCCCAGGAGTGTGAGGTTGCTGTGAGCTAGGCTGACGCCAAGGCATTCACTCTAGCCTAGGCAACAGAGTGAGACTCTGTATCAAAAAAAGAAAAAAGAAAAGGGACCAAAAGTCGTAGGGTACATTTACTTTTTATCTCTGAATAAACAGGTTGCCCATAAAAATAACAAGATCTATTAATTAAAAATTTTTGGTCTCTTCTATCTCTTTTCAGAAAGTGCCAGGAAAAAGCAAGAAGGCATCGTTGGCAGTTCCCGGGTGTGTTTTGCGCAGCACACCCCGTCTCTTCCGGCAGAAAGTCCTCGGCCGTTGAAACTCCGGAGCATTCTTGACATGAGCCCTTTTACGGTGACAGACCACACCCCGATGGAGATCGTGGTAGATATTTTCCGAAAGCTGGGTCTGAGGCAGTGCCTTGTAACTCACAACGGGTAAGTGTGGTGCCACGGAAACCGGCTTACTCGCCGGAGTTTATGGTCCTTTGTAGCGGAGGAGCCTGTGTAGTTATCAGCGGAGAGTGGGAGTCAGCTCGCAAGTGGAAAAGCCTGTCGATAGTATGGTTACAGATACAGGACCAGTCAGTTACATTTCACACTTACCAAAGAATAAGAAAGATCAACTGCCCGCTCTTTGCCAAAACACAGTGACATTTGAGGCGCAGAAACATCTCCAACAGGCAGAGCACGTTGAACTTAGAGCATTTCCTCTCTTAGAGGAGTAGTGGACCTAGCTCATGGGGAGCAGTGCAAAACCCAGTTTTCTTTTTGTAAACATTTCATTTTTAGCACATAAATTTCTAGTACAGTAATAACTTTCTAGATATTTTGCTATTTACTCTTTCAGCCAGCATTCGATTTATCATGTAATGAAGGAAGAACATATAATTAAATTTGTAAATTAGCTTAAAGCCTCCTTTCACAAATGCTTTGTTTCCTCTTGTCTACCTTCTCCACAAATCTCTTACATAAACCGCTGGCGACCGATAAACACCCAGGCATTTAAATGTATACGCTCATAGTTTACTTTTCTTCTTTTACACATCAGCTGCCAGCGTCTCTCCACGACAGGGATAAAGGAAAGCCACACGTAGAAGGGTCGTGGGGCGCGCAGGACGCCGCAGCAGGCACGCTCCTGCTGCCTGGCCGGCTCTCCTCTCTCCCTCGCCCTGGGCTCTGTTGCTCTTTCCCCGCCCACCCTGTCTTCAGGCCCCTCTATTGCCGTCATTTTACTGTTCCTTACTGAGATTCCTAAGAACTGCTTTCTCTGAAGGCAGGTAACTGAAAGGCAAGGAAGGAGAAGCAGAGGGTTTGGATTATGCACACACTGCATGCTGGCTAGCCCTGGACTAAATGCTGAATGCATTCAGAATCACAGCAGGGGTTTTTTCTTTTTAACATTTTGTACAAAATATCATGGGTGACAGATTACATGACCCCTGTCTAAAGAAAGGAGGAAAAAAGAACAAGAAAGAAGGAAACACCTTTATGTTTTTCTCATCTAACTTTGCAGGAACTCTGCAAAATAGGGAGTGGTACCCCTACTTTACAGATACAGTAACTGAAGCTCAAAAAGGTTTAATAATTTGCCGAAAATGATGTGGCGAATCACATGGATCTGAGAATCAAACACTTGCAAATTTAAAACCCAATCTCTTGCTGTTTTACACTGTAATTAGCTGATAGAAAAAAAAAAACCCTCTTTCTTTGTGATTTCTTAAACTACTAAAATATTTTTGGGCCAATATATTAGATTGGATTGGATTACAAATAAAAATATAAAGCTAGAAAATTAGGTCCATGTTTAGTGTTTTTCACCGTGCTAACCAATTAAAAAGTACTTTTTGAAATAAGAAACCATTAAAGGGATAAAGCTCTTAATTAAGAGCAAGGAGTTTAGAATTATTAAATATCACAGATTCTGATTGGAGAAGAGATGTATATAATGAAATATTACTGTTGCTATTTTCTTTTGTTTAATATTGTTTAATTTTTAAAATATTGGTACCAAACTTCATTTTAAAAACTTAGTAAGTATTCGTTAAATGGGGTGACTTTTCAACAGCGTTGCTGCCCTTGGGCCCTTTTAATTGTTAAGTGGCTCAGTTGGAACCTAAGCTGAGTTGTTACAAACTGTTATTTGCTTCAGGTTGTTCTCTGTGCCTGGCATGGTTTGTTCTTTTATGTACTAACAAATATAAATGTTGTTCTCTAAATTATGAGTAACTGTGATCACAGAGCTGCTATATGGGTTTTCCTATTTCAGTTCACTAATTAATTCCCAGGTTTTTGGCAGCATAGATATCAGAAAAGAAAATGTTTGAAAGAAAGTATAAAAATAACAAAGTGGGCAGAGAGAAGGGAGGATAGCTAATTAAAATTTTATCTGATGTTGCCTGTTTGTATGGAAGGGGGGGAGGGGGCTTTTTCCTAAGGGAATATGTTTAATTGCCATGATCATATTTTCCTTATTTCTGTTCATCAAGGAAAATCAATTGATATATATGTGGGAAGAAAAGAGATCATTTGGGAGGTGGCCCTTGGGACTTTTGGAGTATGTAAGGAAGGAGGGTGTTTTATTTCCACCTACAGTTAAATGATTTAAAACACAGGAAGAAATCATGTCTTGCGGGTTTTAGTGGAGAGTATGAAGTTCTAGGTAGCTATCAACGCCTTATAGTTTATACTGGGTCTTAGAGCTGAATAATAGTCATCTGGGAGAAGAGACTCAGCAAATCTAGAACCTTAGATGCAAGGAGAAAAAACAGAATGCAGATGGGGGAAAATGAGTATGTAAATTATAAAGATGTCAATTAGTTACTGATTCTACGCATTTTATATTTTAACTTAGCAGAATGTCTCTTTTAATCTTCGTGGGACTAGTGGGATGTTAATAGGAGTTACTCAAAAAAACATCTTATGACTGTATAAATTTGGAAAGTGTTGAAATAAATACAATTGAGGTTCTTTACTGTGGAACTTCTCTGAACTTTTAAAATATTGATATTCTTTAATTCCCAGATAGGGGGTAATGGGAAACACAGTTTTCTAAACTAATTTGAAAATGTAACCATTTTTTGGTGGGGGGAGGGGAGAAGAACTCCTGGGCTGGTGTCTCTTAGATCATACTTTGAGAAATGCTGAGTTATGTTCTGTTAACACATCATTACTTATTAGCTCAAAAGGAAACAGCAAATAACTCTTTATATGAGTCACATTTTACATTGATTTTCCTTCTACTCCCTAAAATTAGTAAAGCAGCACTGAACCCCTGGCCTTTTTATTCTCAAATCACTATTCCCCAATAACTAAACAGAAGAACTATGTGTGTTTCTGTCTTTTATGGGCGATTACTTTGTAACTCTCTAAATTTGCCACTTATTCCTTATAAATTTGTAACTTTCCTCACCTGTACCTTGGCATATTTACTAATATCAGTGATACTAACTGAGCTTAATCATTCTGTATAATTGGACAGAAAAGCATGAGTTAGAATTAAACTGGTGTTACAGTATTTAATTAATTGCCAGGGTTTTCACATTTCCTGACTCCAACCATAAAATCAAATGAATCAATGGCTTAAAAAAAAAAAAAACCCTGAAAAATTTAGTCAGTGAAGAACATTTAATGAGTGATTGAATGCTCATTTTATACAGTTTCTGAGCTTTTTTAGAGGAAGTTGCCCCCATGCTCTGAGAACTTTTCAATTTACCTTTATTCTTAAGGATCAGTACAATATTTTTTTTAAAAAAATAGTGAGAAAACATGAGCAAAGAACCAATTTCTGCCTTTCCTCTTCTCTACCCTCCTTGCCCCACCCCCACCCCAGCTGTCATACTGAGTAACAATTTTATAATGGACATCTCTGTAGGACCAGACTGCTTTGAAGTCCCCGGGTGACATTCTTCAAGAAGCCAGAATGTTCAAAGGCAGCTTAACAGGAAAGTTGACTGAACCAGATCATCAGGAAATGTGCAATGACCCAGAAGGGCATTTTGGATAGGCTTTCAGAATTTAAAGATTAACTCTTTTTCAAGGTTTTTGTCTTTTACTGTTTATATGCCACATACTGCAGTTGAATTCATTAATTTCCATTATAAACTCTGTAACCAGAATTTTGTCTTAATAATTAAAAGCAGTCTAATTAGTTTTAAGTGTCCTCATTAGGAGAATTTGTATCCATCGTTTTGCTTGATGTGATAATGATGACATGTTAACTTAGAAATAATTATTATTTGGGGGGAAAAAAGCATAAAGTAAAAGTCCTTTTGATCCCTAATCATAAATAGGTTTTATTAGCTTATTTTAAGAAGTGGCATTCACAGTTCCTGACAATTAGGGAGTGTTTCTGTTGGTCAGCACTATTTATTTAGTTTTAATTTGAATTTGAAATAATAGGAAAATCCAAGAGATTTCTTAAGTCTTCTCACAGACAATAAGGCTAAGCTTTCCCCCATCCTTTCACTGCTGAGGCAAATCCAAATGACAGCTGTTGTGTTGTGACATTGTAGAAATTGGAAAAATATTTTCTTCTGTGAAAGAACACTGAAAACGGAGCTCTACCTGTCAGAGGTTTATAGCTGTGTATCAATATTAAGTTTCTTTTGTACTTTGCTTTGTAGTCATCTTCATTCCAAACTTTCATAATTTTGATTTTTAACTTAAAAAGAAAAATAACCCACTAGTATTGACAAATAGTATTGTATCACTTTTGAAAGTCAGTAGAGTTTATGCAAAAGGAGTCTAGAATTTTAAATCATTTTTGTTTTTATTTTTCTAAAGTTCATGAGAAGCATTCTTGTCATTCATGTTTTTGTTTTGTTTTCTCATTCTTTATCATTATGATTGGAACCGCTTTTAATTTAATTTCTCACACAGTTATTAGCATAATAATCTGTTGCAGGATTGTCTTGGGGATCATCACAAAGAAGAACATATTAGAGCATCTCGAGCAACTAAAGCAGCACGTCGAACCCTTGGTGATTAGATATATCAGATCTCCTCATTAGACACCTTAGAAGTCAGGAAGCATGAAACTTGTGAACTGTTCAGTTCTCTTGCCCAGATATCTGCTGAACAAAAATATCCTGCTATGCTGCCAATTACATTTGTATCCGATACATTATGTCTGTAAGATAAATTAGATAATGTGTAAAATTCCATTCATAGAAAGTAAGCAAAAGTTAACACCTCTCATGAAAATCATTAGTTACAATTTAAGAACTGTGAACAGTTTGGTAGTTGAATGAGTAAATATTACTGAACATTCTTAAAGTGAACATGACAAATCAGTCCACCTTAGTGGATATACACTGGTCTCAGAAGACTTCTGACTGGTTAAAAATGTCTGCCCTATCACCCCAAGCCCATTTTTTTGTTTTTCTCTTTTATGTTCCCTAATCTTGTGGTAGTCTTATTGTAAATCTAAGCTCCTAAAATGATTTAAACTGAGCTTAGTGATTAGAATTGCTGACAGTTAAATGGATTTTTTAATGGGCACACTAGAGTGTAATGTGTCTATATTCGTGATCATGACATTCTTTTTCTGCTATACCCTCCATATCTTCAAAGTCACAATGTGTGTCCTGCCATTTCATTAGTGAATTGTACCTAGATTATGTGTGTGCCCCTTTTGTATCATGTTTCTAGAATGCTATAAGCAGATTTGGGGTCAAATGCATTGGTTTTAACTGGCTTCATGTCCTAGTGATTTCATGATTACAGATAAATTTTGAATTATCTACTGAATAACATAAAAATTGTCTGGCTTTAGCAATTGATGCCTAAAATTATTTTGCCCTGCAATTGTCATACCTATACGAAACCTGTGCCAGTTCGCTTAAGTACACAACTAATTGTGTATTCCTGTTGTATGCTAATATTTCACAAGTGTTTCATGCATCCTTTTTTTAAAAACTACTAACCAGAATAATATAGTAGCTACTCATTCATTCTGCTTTCTGCTTCACCTGTAATCTTTTAGGACTGCTTCTTGATTTTTCACCTGTCTTTTAATGTAAGCATTAACAACTAAGACTTTCATAAAAGCACTGTATCTTAACTTTTTTGGCCAAAATCAAAATAGGAAAACATTGATAAGTGTACTAGAAACGGGTTGTCTTATAGATTTATTCTTGGGGTTCTGAAGTTTGGGATTGAAGTTCTGTGTTGACCATTTTATATGCATTTTATTTCAACTGTATGTGCTTTCATGAAGATTCTGCATACACATGGGCAATCCTTAAATTATCTTTTAAAAATTGGTTAATTTTGGTTAAACAAGAAGTGAAGTGTTGAGGGGATTTGGTCATCAGACATTTTACTGCTTTCTTGATATGATGGGAATGAATTTTCCTTCTCAAATGGAATCAGCCTCATTTCCTGTTCATACCTTTTCCCATTTTTTGTTACTTTTTTGTTGGCATACATTAATCCAAACAGCTCTGCCTCGATGGGGCGTGCAGTCCTCAGAGTCCCCGTGGAAAGGCCGTCATACTATTAGTGACCATGATACTTTTGATATCGAGGATGATTGCTGGATAATTTTATTACCTTTACCAATAAAATACATTTTGAAAATACAAAATCAGGCTGCTTGCTTTGCTCTATTTCTGTCAACAAAAAGGACTTAGCTGTAGACTTAGCGTCTCTTCCCTCCCCGCCCCTTTTATTTTAATAGCAGTCTTCTGTTTGTCCCTTCCAGGCGCCTCCTTGGCATTATAACAAAAAAAGATATCCTCCGTCATATGGCCCAGACGGCAAACCAAGACCCCGCTTCAATAATGTTCAACTGAATCCCATAGACGAGGAGAGAGAAGAAACGGAAGAGGAAGTTCGTTTGTTGAATAGCACAACTCTTTAACCTGAGGAAGTCGTCCACTTTTTTTCTCCTTAACAAAAAAAAAAAAAAAAAAGGAAATATAAAAGCTGGGCATTTGCAACTTGGTTTGCAAATAATGCTGGTGGCATGGAGGAGTCTGGGGAGGGCAAGGAGAGAGAGAAGGAAAGAAGTGAGGTGTTTCCCATCTGACCAAGAGCAGCAAATCGGTGGCTCCTGGAGGATGTGCGGGGACTGCGGGCTGCGCCTCAGAAGGGAGGACGCCGGAGTCCTCGTCCCGGAGCACCGGGCCTGTGACTCCAGCATGGCAACGACGCGTCACCGGTCCCTGTTTCTGGAGGGATTCCTTTGAATTGAGCCATCTATAAAACTGCAAGGTCTTGCCCTTTTTTATCAGAACTGTTCTGTTTAATTCATGAATTGTATTGTTGAGCATTACCTTTCTACATTCCAGAAGAGCCTTTCTCTCTCTCTCTCTCTCTCTGTCTCTCTGTAACGAAGCCTCTTTAAATTGGTGTACCCGTTTGAACAGTCCTTTCTCATATTGAGATGTGCTGTGATTTTACTGAGGTCTCCTCACAAGAAGGGAGTGTTTCTTGTGCCATTAACCACGTAGTTTGCACCATCACTAAACGCTTGGAGCAGTGCACATGTACCACGACAAAGGCTGGTCAGACAGGTGACAACATCTCGGATGAAGCACTAACGAAGTCTCTCAGCTTGTGTGCCGCGTGATTCAGAATCAAACAATGAAACTCGATTTTAAAGGATAAGCAGGTTCTTTTTCTCTCAGACTTTATGGATAATGTGACCTGGTCTTATGCAAATTTTCTATTTCTAAAACTTCCATGATGTCTACAAGTGCTGTTCAGCATAATTAACGCGCTGCTGCCTCGACAGTGAAGAGAAGGAAGCATCGTTTAGCTGTGTCTGATATTAATTGCATGTTACAACACTGGAATTTTTTTTTCCTTGAAATTAGAATCAGTCATTCTTTTCTTTCCTCAAGGTATATCTACTGCTGACACTGAAGAAGAAATGTAATTCATAACTTGCACTAAATGTATATTTCTTTTCTTAAAAATTTACCATTCTTATTTATATTTTTATGGATTAAAATTTATAAAATACAGATCAGTTAATATCGCACTTAAATAATTTTACCTTTTTAATGTGATATTTATAGACTAATTGAGACTTACAAATATGGAGATACGAACAAAGTTTACAGTGGGAACGGGTTTAAAAACAGGCTTTGTTTATTTCTCAGTGATCCATGTGTGCATCAACCTTTTTCTGATCTTTCACTGCCATCTCCTGGATTGTCTTCCAACCTATTACCTAGAAAGATGAAACACTACAAATTACTTTGCAGATTACAACCTAAAGTTATATAGTGTTAGCCTTTTTTAAAATATCAAACAAAAAATGAAAACAATAAAATCGCAAAGGGAGTTAAAATTTTAATCTGCACATAACCTTTGACTCTTTGGGTAGGTTGCATCCTTATGAGAAGTAGATGATGGTTTATGTATCAGCAGTGCACATTTTTGCAGGATGAGTTAAAATGCACTAGAATATGTTTGGGATTTTTGTTTTTGGAAATGTCTGTTTTAATCATGGTCTTAATTCTCAACTGGCAAAGGCAGTTTACTCAAAGAACTGGCCTAAATATTCTGTGATTATACATCTTTGAAAGGAAAACAAATTTTTGCAGACAGACATTTTCTAAAACACAACTGGCAATGAGCCATTTTTACATTTTGGAAGTGATTCTTCACTTCCTAGTTCTTAATAATAATATGCCTATAATATCATATAAAATCCATAAGATCCTAAAGACTTATAAGATCATGAAGCCATATAAGAGTGATGATGGAAAGTTGAGCAAAATGTTAGGAATTCCGTGAAACAGTCTTAGCTGTGCTATCTGCCTAAATCAGTATTTTGTCCTCATTATTTCCCTCTTTATAGCCTCTTCAAAGTTCTTTTGGCATCCAGAGTGGAGTCATTTCCAAATGATGGTTCCGTGTACGTCAAGCTTGTCCTAAGTGTGTCTGCCATGTGGAGCCCTGCTAGACTGTGAACTCTCAGCATGGCTATGGATAACTTAGGTGCTTGTCATGACTTATGAGCCTTCAAAGGAGAAACCATTCTTACATTAAACTTCACATGGATTTTATTTTCCACGTTCCCCTGTTTTGAGTTCAGGTCCTACTTTCACTGCCCATCCTGCTTCAAAGACTAACATTTCAGGGTGGACAATAAAGCATTAATTTTCTTCTTTGGTACATTTCTGTCCCTGGTGTGTCTTACTGCTGAAATACAGGACAAGTGCCGGATTTTTAATGCATTCAGTGGTTTTCTTTGGTGTTACTATCTGTCCCATTTTTCCTTTTGATACATTGAGGTGTGTCTTCTTGAACAAACGATGAAATAGTGGGGACCATGAAATTGTTGTGCCTGGCTAATTGGCAAATTAATTGACCAATATAAGTAGCGCCTTATTGGAGTACCCTTTTTGAGAAGGTATGATGAGAATGGGCAAGGGTGTCAGCATCTCTTCCTTATTAATAATTGTTTTCAGTTTTGGTTCATGAAGAATGCTTAGTTTGTTAATCTGTGATGTTGCCTAGAGCTGTATTTATCTGTTTTTATTTATACTAGTGTAGTAAAGCTGCATATCATTACAGTAAAAATGATTACTGTGATGAGTTAATCAGAAGCCTATTAAAATCTATATGACAATGTGTGGTTTGGCCTTTAATTACATCTGTAACAGTCCTGCTCTGTACTGCTGCCCTGTGCAGTGTAGGCCAATATGCTTAGCATGTGGACCCTCAAAAAGATGATAATGATGACGCTTCTCTCAGGTTACAGGCCGTGTCTGTACTTTGCGAGCAAGGAGCAGCAGAAGAGTCAACGCTGGGTTGAATGGCAGGATGTGCGTGTAGCTAGCAATAGTGCAGAGCCCCATTTGTCAGTAGAAGTTGCAGGTCTGCAAGAAACGGATCTCCTTTCAGTTTGCTTTCAAAAAGGTGACTTTTTAAAAGAAAAGTTTATTGTATTTGCATGAAAACAGGTCAAATTTACATTTTTTATAATTATCTTGGATATTTGCTAGTAGAACTGCCTAAAGGGAGTGGTAAGTAACATTTTAATAATATTTTAATAGTCTTCTAATAATTAAACTTTTAGGCCTTTTCTTCCCGGTTCTTCCCACAGTCAGGAATAGCTGGGTTGAGAGGAAAAATAAAATTAAAAACAACAACAAAAAAATCTTTTAGTAAAAAGGAAAACACTTCAAGTCCAGAATGATCCTTTATCATTCATTCATTCACTGAATGTGTACTGAACACTTAGTCTGTGCCAGGCACTATACTGTTTTCTTGAAGTTTGCATTCCAGTAGGAAAAGGAACAAATACCAGATGGTGATAAATATGGATTAATTCAGCAATTTTCTTTAATTATTCCTATCATTATTAGCATACAAAATCAGGCAAAAATCTTTCTACTAGAATTTTTTTCTTTTTTTTTTTGAGACAGAGTCTCACTTTGTTGCCCGGGCTAGAGTGCTGTGGCGTCAGCCTAGCTCACAGCAACCTCACGCTCCTGGGCTCAAGCAATCCTGCCTCAGCCTCCCGAGTAACTGGGACTACAGGCATGCACCGCCATGCCCAGCTGATAATTTTTTTTCTATATATTTTTGGTTGGCCAATTTCTTTCTATTTTTAGTAGAGACAGGGTCTCGCACTTGCTAAGGCTAGTCTCCAACTCCTGAGCTCAAACAATCCACCCACCTCAGCTTCCCAGAGTGCTAGGATTACAAGCGTGAGCCACCTCGCCTGGCCAAAATTTTTCTAATGGAGAAAAAGTGAAGGTATGTGCGCAGGTGCACCCTATTTTTGTGGAGGGTGATCTGGGAAGGCCTCACGGATAAGGAAATATTTGAGCAGAAACCTAAAGGGTGAGGGGATGACATTTCAGTGTGAGACAATGTCTAGGAAGAGGAAGTACTGCCTGCAACATCCTGAGGTAGGGCATTCCTGCCAGTGTCAGGGATCGATCGCCTAGTAGTCACGGGCGGGAAAGGGCCACGAAGGAAAAGGGGGAAGAAATAAGGAAAGAGGTTGGGGATGCAGGGGCTCGATTGTTTTCCAAATAAAGTGGGAAGCCAGGAAGGCAGAAAAGTGACACAACCTGACCTGAAATGACCTGACTCCTTTGTTGGGCACAGACTACAAGGGGGTGGCAGTGGAAGAAGACCAGGTAGGAGGCTCCTGGGTAATTCAGGTGAGGTATGGTACAGGTTTGAACCTGACTGGAGCTGGTGCAGGTGGGGAAAGTAGTTGGATTCTAGATATCTTGAAGGTGGTATAGACAGGACTTTTTTTTTTGAGACAGAGTCTGGCTCTGTTGCATAGGCTGGAGTGCCATGACGTCATCGTAGCTAACACCAACCTCAAACTCCTGGGCTCAAGTGATCCTCAGCCTCCTGAGTACTTGGGACTCCAGGTATGTGCCACCATGCCCGGCTAATTTTTTCTATGTATTTTTAGTTGTCTGGCTAATTTCTACTTTTAGTAGAGACAAGTCTCGCTCTTGGGAGGCTGGTCTTGAACGCCTGACCTCAAGCCATCCTCCCGCCTCGGCCTCCCAGAGTGCTGGGATTGCAGGCGTGAGCCACCAGCCTGGCCACCAGGACTTGCTAGTGGGTGGAATGTGGAGTGTGGTGAGGAGTCAGGGACGTCTGCACGTTTCTGGTTTCTGGTCTGAGTAACGACAAGACAGTGGAGTGGCCACTGAGTTGGGAAAGACTTCAGGAAGAATAGACTTGGGGCTGAGCGTGTGTGTACGGGGGAGTTCTGGCTTTAGACATTAGGTTTCAATGCCTTTTAGACTTCCACGTGGGGATGTCAAGTAGGCACGAGTATGTACGAGACTGGTTCAGGGCAAAGGGCCAACCCGAGAGCTGAGCAGAGCAGACGTCATCCTGAGACAGGAGGCTGCCACGGACTGAGTGTGGACACAGAAGAGGCAGGAGGACTGAGCGCTGACACGTTTTTGCTTAGATTTGGGGAGCTGAGCCAGCCGAAGATGGGGTTAGGGTGAGGAGTGGTGCCCTTAAAAGAAGCCAGAGAGTCTTGGTTTCAAGGAGGGTCAGCTGTTGGGCACTGCTGACGAGTGAGGCACTTGAGGCTGGCAGCTGGCCCGTGTGGAGGTGACGTACACCGGGCAGTGGCAGCAAGAGCGTAACTGCAGCGAGCGCGACGCAGACTGGAAGGGAGGCGCAGAGGGTGGCGAGTGCGATTCCTACGAGGCATTCAGAAAAGGAGTGTGTCTGAAGACGCAGGATGTGCTGGCTTTGTTGTTGTGGATGAAAATGTGCGAGAAGGAAAGTGATGAGATCAGATTTGTTTTAAGATGCAGGATAATACAGTTTGTTTCTTGGGCTAGAGTGCTGTGGCGTCAGCCTAGCTCATGGCAACCTCAAAATCCTGGGCTCAAGGGATCCTTCTGCCTCAGCCTCCCGAGTAGCTGGGACTACAGGCATGCGCCACCATGCCTGGCTAATTTTTTCTATATATTTTTAGTTGGCCAATTAATTTCTTCAATCCACCTTCCTCGGCCTCCCAGAGTGTTAGGATTACAGGCGTGAGCCACTGTGTCCGGCCATCGTTGAAGTGCTTTTGATTGCCTGTATTTTTCAGTGAAAGAAACAGAATGGGAGAGGACATTGAAGTTTGAGGAAGAATGAGAAAGTCTAAGATCAGTGGCACCCAGCACGGCCAACTTGGGGTTAAAGGTAGACCAGCCGTCATGGGTGTATTTCTTCTCCAGCTACCTGATGCTGAACAGACTCAAGTAAGGAATGGGCAGTTATTTGGCTTAAGGCTGTAACAGAAAAATACGACAAACCGACCAAGAGGCAGTGGAGGATTGGGAGTGACTATGACGGGGCATAGAACACAAAGGCCAGGTGAAGAGGGAGCCAAGGGTGCAGTGGTTAGATCGATGAATTGGAGGGTATTGCTGGGTTGAACATTGATGAGGTAGTAGAGGAAAAGGGATGGGAAGATGCGCCGTGATACTTAGATAGTAGGATGCTTGCAATTTGCGATCAGGGAGTTTTTCATTATTGGTACTGACAAGGTACTAGTTTGTCGATCAACCCCTAGCCTGGATCATTGAAAGAGTAAGTCAAGGATCTGAGAGGTCAGGATCTTGCAGGGATCATCTGCATAGATATTAACATTAAAAATTAGGGTTAGAGTAGTTTGGACAGAATGACATCAGGCGAGGTCAAAGGTTGAGCTTGTGCAAGGGTCTCATGCTGCTGCTGGCTCAAGTACAGCAGCATCTCCCAGGTGGTTTTGTAGCTTTCGTTTTTCCTTGGGTGTATCATTCTGTATTTCTGTTTCAGGCTTATATAGAAGCCATTGTTGAGCTCCAAAAGGTGAGTTTAGCTAAATTTGAATTGAGTAATAATTTTCTATTAAATCTTGGCTGGGTTAAGGTGCTTCATTCATAAAACAGCCTAGCCACTTTTAAAATGTGTTTGGAGAACAGAGGTATACAGATGCCATTTGGAAGCTACTATAGCCATTGAGTGCCCCGATCCTAGGTAGATAAAAATACTTAGTAAAATAAGTTTGAATGGATTATGCCTTTAGGGAAGGAAAAAGATAAGAAAGGTTTGGTGTCCTACCGAAAGGAGTTTGGCTCTTTCTTTTTTTGAGACTGTCTCACTTTGCCCTGGCTAGAGTGCCATGGCGTCAGCCTAGCTCACAGCAACCTCAAACTCCTGGGCTCAAGCGATCCTCCTGCCTCAGCCTCCCGAGTAGCTGGGACTACAGGCATGTGCCACCATGCCCGGCTAATTTTTTCTATATATTTTAGTTGGCCAATTAATTTTTCTATTTTTAGTAGAGACGGGGTCTCGCTTTTGCTCAGGCTGGTTTCGGACTCCTGACCTTGAGCAATCCTGCCTCGGCCTCCTAGAGTGCTAGGATTTCAGGCATGAGCCACCACGGCCGGCCAGGAGCTTGCTCTTTAATGAAGAATGCTCAGTAGTTGGACGATCAGTACCTCCTGAAACATGTGATTAGCCCCCTGACACAACTCGTGGGAGTTTGAGACTGGAAGTCCGCATTCCTCACCATATTGTTGTCCTCAGGAAACCCTGTTCACAACAATATTATCCAAATTATAACTGCCATATTGAGATTAGTGTCCAGTTTCTGTCTTGGCTGCGATATACCTATCCACAGCCAAGATACAGTCACATCAGGTTTCTGTAAGGAATGGATGAAAAGCTGATTCACCTCTTTTGTCCCTTGATAAATCCTTTTGGAATCCATACTGCTGATCACAAGGCATATAAAAAAGTTATACATTTGAGACTGTTGGATCACTAAATGGCAAAATCTAGTATTTCTAGCTAGGCAAATCTTTAGCAGGTGACACCTGAATTTGGATAATATTTTAAGAATATGTGTGTGAATATTAGGTGCAATATTTAGAAATAGGCACTTTAGAAACTAAAGAAATCCAAGGAAAAAAGCTCAAGAGCTTCTAAGTGTTAGATTATATAAAAACCAATGTAATGTGGTCATCTTTTCTAATCAAAGTATGTGTGAGCCAACTGTTACTGTAATGTTTTAACATAAAACAGTTGTCAGTTCAGACGGGTGCAGGGCCTGGAGCTACTTAATAAGTAAATAACATGGCAGTTCCTTAAAACTCTGAGAACTCCCCATCAGAACTGTAAAAGTTCCTGTACAGCTATGAAAGGGAAGTTGAGGATCTTTTGTTTCATTTTAATTATTATACGAAATATGCCTTCTTTTGAAGAGAACATCTTGGCTGCCTGCAATGGCAGTAGTCAATGAATACACACTCAAAGTTTGTGTTGCTGAGGGGGATACAGTTATAAAATGTTTGCCCTTAAAACGCTCACAGCCTGAGGAGATGAAACATGCCACTCATTTAAAATCCTAACTGAAAGTCTTGCCTTTTAATAGTGTACTCATCCCCTTATATTTCAAAAAGTACCTCAAATCCATTTTAAGGAAACAGCTGACAGAACTTTGGAGAAGTACTATTCAACAAAAGTTCTTCCGGTGAGTCAAATCAGTCTTGCACAAAATGTGGGGTTCAACGAGATGACTGAGGGCCTGCCTATCTCGAACTTCCTATGAAGAGGGAACAGCTCGTAACCCTTTAGATCAACCCATGACACTTGCTATTCCGAATTGTGGGGTTTGCCCTTTGCTTTTTTTTGTTTTTGAGACAGTCTCACTCTGTTGCCCAGGCTAGAGTGAGTGTCGTGGTGTCAACCTAGCTCACAACCTCAAACTCCTGGGCTCAAGCAATCCTGCTGCCTCAGCCTCCCGAGTAGCTGGGACTACAGGCATGCGCCACCATGCCTGGCTAATTTTTTTCTATATATATTAGTTGGCCAATTAATTTCTATGTATAGTAGAGATGAGGTCTCGCTCTTGCTCAGGCTGGTTTCGAAATCCTGACCTCGAGCAATCCACCCGCCTCGGCCTCCCAGAGTGCTAGGATTACAGGCGTGAGCTAGTGCGCCCAGGCTTCCCTCTGCTTTTAAGGTGAACGTCATCAAGTTAAGGAGGATCTGATTCTGGTAGAACAAAGCTCTCCACAGACTTGCACTAAAAATCCAGTGAAATAACTTGCAATGGAAACTTTAAAATCTAAATGGCATACTGATTATATAATATAGTATATACTATCTGCATACTGATTATATACTATATACTATCTTATACTAATACTATGCTATATTTATTAGTAAATTAGACTGAGTCAAAAGAGAATATACCTAGTGGGCTAACTGGAGTACCTGTTGGGAGACCACATGCATCCTGAGTTTCCTCCTCCTGTGTCCCTTCTAACTCCCCAGAAACCCAGCCCTTAAAGCTGTAGCTATTAACTCAAAGCTCAGAAGAAGTATATTTTTAATTGTCCACAGGGTACACACTGAAACAGGACTCTGTGAGGAGAAGATATGCTAGTTATCCACAGGCATTTAGGGAGTGATTTCCTGTGACCTGTCAGAGGGTGAAAATGTGATTAGGTTGTCACCATTTAGATGACTGTCACTTATTTGCAGATGAAGAAAACACTTTATAAAAGAAGAACCTTCTAAAATTTTTAGCAAATGTTTCTAATTTATTTTTGTATTCCTTAAAAACAGAACAAATCACAAGTTTAATACCAATACTTTAAAATATTGTAAATCTCACAAAGCTACTGGTACCTCCCACTCATGTTGCAAGTTGGTCTATGTTTTCTTTACTTCTGTTTGCCAGATGATCTTCAATAATTTCTGCATACAGATTCCTCTTCAAAAGATTATATGCAAGAGGTAAAAGCTGGCCAGCAACTTTATGAAAATACTGAAAAATAAAAACATTGAGCAGAGCATACAGCAGATGTCTTCATAAGTAGCAGAAAATGCACCAAACAGGCATGTGTTTGACAATGCCTACTTCCAAAATCATTTCAGCTACTCTGTTGACCAGGCACCTGGCATTCTGTCCAAGAGGTAATCTTGGCACTCTAAAAGACTAGAGGCATATCTTGAAGAAAATTAAGAAAAGCAGTTAAAAATTTCAGCGTTCCTATTCCCTCCCTTACCCCAAACTATGCCCTCAAATACTTTTCTTCTTCTCTCCAGTATATTCCCACCAATCAAAAGTTTAAGCTTTATTTTCCTTTGTTCCTGTTTGGAACAGCAGTGCTCAATGCGGGTCTTCACTCCCTTCCCCATGTCCTCAAATTCCTCCTTTCTCACCTCCTCCACGTTAATGAGCTGAAGCCACTTTAGACTACTGTTACATGTGCTGGCAGAACTAGCAAGGCTCCCTTTTGTTGATAAACATCTAACATGCGGTAAGTACTGTGCTGAACCTTTTCATAACTCTTCTGCATTATTAATTCTCACAACAAGTTTGCTGTCCAGCTGGCGCACATCGCACAGCTCTCGTGTATGGCAGGTCAGGCACTGGCCTGACGGGGAGGTGACTCATCCTGGCCTTGCACATTGACTGCTTTTCCTGATAACCACATGCGTGGCATGTGGAGAAAGACAGTGTAACATGGGTTATAGCACGTTCTTGAGATGGACTGCCCTGACCAGGGAAATCAACTTCACCTCGTAACTTAACGGAAATGCAAGTTCTCAAGACCCACCCAAGAACTCAAACCAGGGGCAGAGCACCAGTCTGCGTCTGAACAGCCCTCCAGGTGGTGCTGTGCTCACTGAGGTTAGACAGCTACAGTTTAGTGTCAGAAATTTAGTCTCAGGTTTCATCCCAGACCTACTGAAACAACTTGCATTTTAACCGTATCTCCAGGTGATTCATAAGCACGCCACAGTTTAGGAATTACTGTGCTGATTTAAACACAGACTCTGGAAACAGACTGCCTGTATGACTGTGAACAAGACACTTTGCCTCTCTACTTGATTGCACAGTCTCTGTGTGCACACATGTGCAGACATATTTCACAGGTAAGACACAGATACAAAGGTGTTAGAAAAACTGCCACTCTTACACAGCTGGGGAAGATGTTACAGGCACGATACTTTATTGCCTCTTTGACCATGAGGCAACTACAGTTGAGTAAGCAGTGGTTAAGTAAATTTCTGATTTAATAAGAAAATAATGATAGAATAGCATCTATTTGTAATAATTTAAAACATACTTAAAAATAGTATTTATTCTTCATCTAAGAATGCAGGCACAATAACAAATATCCCCTACCCACCATGGAAATGAAGCCTCAGGAAAGGTGTGTGTACACACCCACGTATAAAGCAACAAATACACATACCAAACTAAAAGGCATGTCTTTATGTCTACATAAGTAAATTCACTATAATGTCAAAAATCTTGTTATTCACCTTTGCCAGAATACAAGGTGAATTTCAAATAAGTATTTTTAGAACATTCACTTACTTTGAAATACAAGCTGAATCCATATCCTACCTATGTTGGAACCTGGGGACGTAAATGTGCGTGTGTGTGTGCGTGTGTGTGTGCGCGCGCATGGCGGGGAGGCAGGGGAGCTTTTTTCTACTCACAGGGGAACCGTAGCAGAAGAGGTCCATGCCCAGCTCCAGGCCCATGCCGTAGTCACACTCGTCATTAGCAAACTGCACAAAGGTCATCATCTCCTGAATGGGAGCAAAAGCTTTTAGTCTCTCCTCATCACTTGCAGCCTCAACTATTGTCTTGCAAATTCTCTTGAGATCAGCTGAAAGAAATCAATATAAAAAGATTACACAATTTAAAAAGTGATTTTAACTGTCTTCAAAGGTAAAGAGACTATGACCACGGTTTTTCCAACATGACTTCGTACTAGTACGATTCATGCCACCTGGGCAGTCATCTGTAGCACTGTAAGTTAGAATGGCAATTTTATAATTTTTCTACTTAAGCCATTTTTTGTATTAGCAAAGTATGACTGTTTCATAATGGATTTAGTCACAATCAAGATTTTATATAAACTTACAAAGGCTAGTGCAGGAAATTGGCAAATTTGGCCAAACTTGGCTCACCCTGTTTTTAACTGCCATCCCACTAAGAATGTTTTTGCATTTTTAAATGGTTGAAAAAGAAAGAAGCAAAACAAGAATATGTAATGTCAAAAGTTCCAAGATAGTTCAGAAAAAATGAGGCAATAGGCTAAAATTCTTTAAATTCTACCATATTTTGAGCACTATGAGGCAAGTACGGTGCTAAACATCTTACATATTCTTTTGTACCCTAAATACCCCTATGAAGTGAATATCATTATTTTACATTATATTAAGTAAAAAATCTGCAACTAGCTAAGCAGTTATTTTTGGGTAATGGTATGCACGCTACAGTCAGAAAGACCAAGTTTGAAATCCAGCTCCTTCATTTACTAGTGCTACACATTCTAGATCTTTCCCTTGTGAAAATGGGAATAAGACTTACTTTAAGGAGTTGGATGAGGATTAAATATTATGTATACATCACTTATCATAGTGAATCATAACACTGACATCTAAGAATTGCTCAAAAATGGTACCTTATTTGCCAGGTTACAATGTTATCGTACGAAGCTTCAAAGGGGATATATTGGTTAGGAATAAACTCAAGGGTGATTTGCTAATCACAGTCACATTAACAAACTGCCAGTCAGTTACACCTCCTGGCAAACACTAGGCAAGAGCAAGATTAGGTCCTTAACTTTTATGATTTGCTATAACTTCTTATTCAAAATAAGTAAACCACAGAAGGATCTAGAATATTAGACTTGGACCCAAACCAAAACCCCAGAACCCAAACTAGCGTAGGATAATAGGCTTTACTCCAGGGCACTACAACTTAACGTCCACCACACCCTTAACGTTTTAGAGACCGCCACTCTGTGACAACTATTCTCAACCTTTCTCAAACGAGATGGTGATGCTTTCTAAAACTCTGGATGGGCTAGTGAGCAGACAGGCAGAGGGTGAGAGCCAAGCAGAAGACTGAATCTTAGCTAGAGCCCACACTCCCTCCCGTAAGAGACTGACTACCTCTGGCTTCAAGGAGGAGACACAGGACAGATCAGCCTGTCCAAGAGAAATACAATGGGCTACATCTGTACCTAAATTTTTTCTAGTCTCCACATTAAAAACGAAACAGGTAAAATTAATTTTAAGATGTATTTAACCGAATATTCTAAAATATTATCATTTCAACACAAACATTTACTGTTTGAATTTATAAATTTAAATTAAGCACAATTACGAATTTTGTCCTCAGTTGCACCAGCCACATGTGAAGTGCTAGTGGCCACTGTATTGGACAGCTCACTTCCCCCACGGAATTCCTCTACAGGGGTAGGGCACAGCAAAAACCATTACATATGAATAGCTGTCACCTAAAACAACTCGACCTGTGAGCTGGAGACTGCACAATCACATTTGAGAGCAGCTGCTTTAAATAAATGGTTAAAATGCAGATTTCCAGGTCCCACTCCCAGCAACCGGTAACAACCAGAGCTAGGCTAGTTAGCTCTGTTCTGAAAAATGGATGGCCAAGTATGTGTGTGGGCAGGAGTGCTTGGCTCTTCCTTGAGAAGATGCTAATTTTGATTCCCTTTAGTTTTATCCCCCTGGAACAGAATGATAAATAAAGGCATACCTAAAGGGATGTTCACAAAAAAGGGAATGCAGGGAAGGGGAAAAGAGAAGTGACTTTTCAACATAGCAATAATTACATTTTGTGCAATAGTCCATTTTCAAGGTGTCTTTGAACTTATAGATGAAGTAGTTCAGGATCTTGGGCTTCTGGAAAGCTAATAGTTTTACATGCACATGGAAAAATGTTCACGAAAAACTATTTGAATGCACACCATCTCAATAATTACTGTTTTACAAGCTCACTGTAATGTCCACAGGTTACAAAATACTTCAGAAAAAGTAACTCTAGGACACAGCTTAAAATTCTTTAAATTCTTAAAGATAACTAACCATATTTTGAGCACCATGGGGCAAGCACTGTGCTAAGGACCTTAATACTTTTTTACATCCAAAATACCCCTGTAAGTAAGTATCATTCTCAACCCCATTTGACAGATGAAAAAGACAAAGTTTAGTGAGGTCAATTAATTTGCTCAAGGTCACAAGCTTTGAATCCAGTTTTAATTCAGGCATGACAGGCTCTAAAACCTTTATGACTAAGGTCTAGTGACCATCTCACAAAAGCTATATGTACATACTTCCCAGTATAAGGAAAACCTTTCCTCCATATATATTAACATATACGCACATGTTTACATGTGAAATATATTACCATCTGTTTCGGGGAGCTCTCTGTACCCAACATCATTTTTATCTACTGGAACAACCAAGCCTGCACCATGAAAGGTCTTTGTCACGACCTAAGTTTAAGGAAAAAAAAAAAAAATAGACAATTTAATCATGGTAAATAGACCAAAAAAAAAAAACAAACCCAGAACAACAACAAAAAAAACCTCCCAAAAACATACAAACCCTCAACATTTTTGCCAAAATACAACATTCAATGACATTTTATTTCACTAAGTTTGGACTTGGGGGTTAAAATTTAATATTCTTTCTTTCCTTTAAAATTAACTAAAAGCCAAGCACACGAAGTAATTATAAAACAGTGAAATAACTGGCTTCTAAGAATCGTGCCAGCCGTTAGGAGTCTGCACGCTGCCTTGCTAGGGAGAACCCGACACACCCATGACAGGAGCGAGCCGGGCATCAGCTTCTCTAAAGTCAGGTAGCTTCCAGATAGAAAGCGTAAGAACCTGGGTGCAAAAGGAAGACAGAAGCAATATTAACAGTTTTGTCAGCAGGAAGATGTTGCAGGATAGAATTCCTCTCATTCATCCTAAATCTGGACCCCAATATTTTTGCCTGGAAAATTCAGGGTTATTTGCAAATTTCTCAAAAGTAAGGCAATTTCCAGTGTTGTGGTGCAGTTTTTGGAGGCAAATCACATAGCCAGTAACATTTTAAGTGGTAATCTTCAAAGATAAAACAGGCCCAACTACAGCCACCACCACAACCCTCCCGTCTACATTCTTCCTTTATTCACACTAGTGGCATATTCTTATGTCTTTCCTTGACAAAACATGTGCTTCAAATATTCCACTTCTCTGTGCAGGCTAGTGAAAATATCGAAGACATAAGGCTACAACTTCCAAAAATTAAATTGTAAAGTCCTCTCGCCTAAGTCTCTATCTTAAAACTTATTTCACTCTAATGCCTCCACTCTCCTGCTCTCTTGGCTACTTTCATTATCCTTAATTTAAGCTGCCAGAAAGGATAGAATATTCAGAAGAAGTTTTCAGACAACTGCTCCCCATTCTGGAAAAAAACAAATGAAGTAACTGCCTTATATCTTAATCTTTACATCAAAATAATTTGCGATTGGATTTCAGGATTAAATGTATAACCATAAAACTACTAGATGAAAGACAAATATTTTTTATAATTTTGTGTTAGAGAAAGAAAAGACTTAGAGTTGACTATATACAAATAAGTCAAATCAAGAACAAAATTAAGAAAAACTGATGAAAAATATCTGCAACATATATAACAGTAAAATAAAGATTGATGTATTTGAACTATAAGGGAGTCTTACAAATAAAGGAAAAGTCTAACATCCAAATAAGAGCACAAGAAAAAGACTAATTCTAACCCTGACAGAAAAATGGGCAAAGTCCAAGCAGTTTACAAAGAAATACAAATGGCCAAAAGAAGTGAAAATTATTTATGTTTATAATCAAAGAAATGCTAGCTAAAACAATGAAGAATTATTTTATACCTATGAGCATAGAAAAGACTAAAAGGAGTAGGAAAAAACCCACAAAATTAGAAAAAAGCAAAGAAAAACTACATACACATACACACAAACACACTTGAACTACTCGACCTGGTAATACTAAATCTAGGAATTTCTTCTTGGGAAATAATATAGTGTGTGAATAAAGATACAACAGGATATTTTTGGCAGGGTTGTCTGTATCTGTGAAAAATCTTCAGCAACCTAAACTCCAAACATAAGCACAACACGCTGCAGCCACTCAAAATTATGAGGTGGCTGCAGCTAAATTGCTTCCAATTTAGCAATAGGAAGTGGTAATCACAATATACTCATAAATGTAAAATGCAGGTCATAAAATGGTGATAACGCAAGAAAAGGAAGCGGTAAGATAGCTGCTGACTGTCTTTCCCCACTCAGGCTGAATGACATAACAAAAACCATGGTATATGTATTTTCACTTTTTTTTTTTTTGGAGACTTGCTCTGTTGCCTTGGCTAGAGTGCAGTGTCGTCCTCATAGCTCACTGCAGCCTCCAACTCCTGGGCTAGAGTGATCCTCCTGCCTCAGCCTCCTGAGTAGCTGGGACTACAGGCACCACCACACCCAGTTAATGTATTTTTACATTTGCCACAAATGAGTAACTGTCTAATTGTTCATAAAGAGGTATCAATTATTAGATGTCATCAAAATCCCTATTATAAAGAATAGGATTACACACTTAGGAAAACTCTATACAAGGGTGGGTAATATCCTGAGGCAGCAGATCCGAGACAGACAGCATGAGACATCCTCATTTTACAGCATCATTTAACCAACATTTTGAAAAATTAAAAAATCTAGATATGAAAAGGTAAAGTGGCATATTAATAAGAAGATAGGATGGAAAAAATGCTAAATATGTAAGATGTGAATTTAGGTCTCAGATCTGTCATGATTTGGGGCAAGACAAAGACTCTATAAATCTCAATTTTTTGATCTATAAAATATGATATGATTCCTGACCGGGTGTGGTGGCTCACGCCTATAATCCTAGCACTCTGGAAGGCAGAGGGGGGTGGATTGCTCGAGGTTTGAAACCAGCCTGATCAAGAGCAAGACCTTGTCTCTACTATAAATAGAAATTAATTGGCCACCTTATATAGAAAAAATTAGCCGGACATAGTGGTGCATGCCTGTAGTCCCAGCTACTCAGGAGGCTGAGGCAGCAGGATTGCTTGAGCCCAGGAGTTTGAGGTTGCTGTGAGCTAGGCTGACGCCACAGCACTCACTCTAGCCTGGGCAACAAAGAGAGACTCTGTCTCAAAAAAAAAAAGATAAATTCCTACTTTGCAGATTTGTTGTGGGGTCAAAAGATGTAAGTCGTAAGAACTTTGCACGCCAAAGTACCATAACGTATTGTCAGTATAAAAACACAGATTTCCAGTGTGCTATATAGTGCTCTACTATACTCAAATGGATATATTACTGCTCTCATACACAAAGACAAAGCTAACTCACATACTAGTGGAATGGAATTTTTCAGGAATAGAAAAATATGAAATGAGGATCTCACAATAATATAAAAGAAACTTATACATATAATAGACAAGGATCTGAAAGTATAATCACCAAAAGGGGAAGATAAAATCACAGTTGTCTTATAAGTTCTTTTTCTCTTTGTATTTGTTCTTACCAGGTATTTCTATATGAAGAACAAATACTAAAAAGAAACCTCATGGCGGAGGGGGCCAGGACAAACATATCTATGAAATTTAAAACCTAGTCATATCTGATTTACAGTTATAGGGAAGAATTAAGGAAATCTACTCCAGAAAAATAAAGGATTGTAGAAAAATGAAACAAGGCTAGAAATGCTACCCTTCCTTGTAGTCATAAGGTGGGAGAAGCTTACAATGACCAGAAAGGTGAAATAGTAATATATATATATTTTGAGACAGAGTCTCACTCTGCTGCCTGGGCTACAGTGCCATGGCGTCAGCCTAGCTCACCTCAACCTCAGACTCCTGGGCTCAAGTGATCCCTCTGCCTCAGCCTCCTGAGTAGCTGGGACTACAGGCATGCGCCACCATGCCCAGCTAATTTCTTTCTATTTTTAGTAGAGACAGGGTCTCCACTCTTGCTCAGGCTGGTCTCAAACTCTTGACCTCGAGCAACGTCCTCCCACCTCGGCCTCCCAGAGTGCTAGGATTACAGGCGTGAACCGCCGAGCCCAGCCGGAACACAGTATCTTTTTTTTTTTTTTTTTTTGAGACAGAGTCTCACTCTGCTGCCTGGGCTACAGTGCCATGGCGTCAGCCTAGCTCACAGCAACCTCAAACTCCTGGGCTCAAGCAATCCTCCTGCCTCAGCCTCCCGAGTAGCTGGGACTACAGGCATGCGCCACTATGCCCGGCTAATTTTTTCTATACATATTAGTTGGCCAATTAATTTGTTTCTATTTATAGTAGAGACGGGGTCTCGCTTTTGCTCAGGTTGGTTTCGAACTCCTGACCTTGAGCAATCCGCCCACCTCGGCCTCCCAGAGTGCTAGGATTACAGGCGTGAGCCACTGCGCCCGGCCGGAACACAGTATCTTAATGTAATTTAAAAGTGCCACACTATAATGAGTTTCATTAAAATGTATGTTTTCAGAAAGTATTTCTGTCTTTAAGACTAAAAGAAGAATTGCTAAGACTGTAATTTAGTGCCCACAATCTATGAGAATATCACTCCTGCAGCTGAACCAAGATCAGAGAAGAAACTGAAATAGGATCTTCAATAACTAAGCACACTGAGGTGCTTCATTATCAGTACTAGTTTATTCAGGATAACAACCCTTCTCTGGTTGTCGTGTTCAGATGAGCCAGCTACAGCAGACGCGGGTGAGAGGCTGGAGGAGATGGGGGAGCCTCCTTCCAGGAACAATGCTTGTCCTCTCCTGAGGTTATAAGGACAAACTCCTACAGAATTCTCATTTACCCCAAAGCAGAATTCTTCCAGCTTGCCTGTTAACTTACTGATATTTGCAACAGAAAAATTAAAAGGATCCAAAATCCAGAAGCATTTCCAGAACCCACCAAAAGCATCTAGCACTAAGTCAACAGACTTCAGCCATTAAATATTAAATTTCTTTATGTGCATATGTAAATATCATCATGTACAAAGCTGCTTTCACTTTATGAAATGATTAACTGACAAACAAGATTAAGAGAGTGGTAAACGCCAGCACGAGTTATGCCACCGCAGCAGCTACGAGACTCGACCCCTACACCCACCTGCAGGAGCCATCCGGCCCTGCTTCAGGGCTGCCCTCCCAGCAGTCAGGTATGGGACAACCCAGGCAGGGCCCGAGGGTCGCCTCCCAGCTCTCTCTAGGGCTGGAGAAGAGAAGGGTACAGTACACATGCAAGGAAATCGAGAGAAAAAAATCTGCTAAACAGCAAAGCAGAGACTAACAGATTGAAATCGTACTTTCTTATCTCTCTGTTTCATCTTCACAGTTTTCTGTTCCAGTGAGTACCCCAGTTCTCTGGATGCTTCTGTGAGTCTCTCATCTATGTTTTTCAAGAGATTAACTTTCTTTTTATCTGTTACTTCTTTAAGTTTTTTCATCAAAAATAATCTGCAAAAGAAGCAAAGGCCCTCATTACCTTCCAGGCCACTGCTAAGTACACAGACCTTTGGAAGTTAAGGGAGCTAAGTTAAAAATGTCAAAATCCATGCAAGAAAAAGTCTGTAGAATAATTACCAACAGTTTTCTCAAAATGCCTAATAGTTTACTTCAAACAAGAGAAATGCAGTATCAATAAAAAGCTGCCAGTTGCAGAAATTGCAAACATGATTCAAGTTTGTATCATTTCTCTAATGTCTAAATAAAGGTATAAAATATTTAAAAAGCTAAGATTAATCAAGCTTTCAGTTATATCACTTGAGATTTGGATATGGCATAACACTTTAGAAAAGTCTGGCATAAGAGAAAAAAATAGTATGTAGAGATCAAAGAGGATTTTTTATTTTTAAAGGGGCAGATGACACTGATACAACACTCAAGGTCAACAGATTTTTTTTTTAAATGTTCAAATTTGTGTTAAGAAAAACCTTAGATAATGTGAAAGGAAAGCTACTTTATAAGCTTATGGAAAAAAAAAGTATAATCCAAAGTAGTTTTTACAAAAATAACTTTATGTTTATCACAGACAGATTAAGATTTTTGCCAGCAGTGTAAAAGGTCAGGAGTAGCAGAGCTAGAAGCGGCCTTCAGTTGGACACACAAGGCCGTCTCCTTTCCCTGCAGCCAGCACCAGACTCCCAGGACGGAGCTTACCCCTGCCATTACCAACGCTGCAGAGTCTGCATTGATCGGTATTCACGCAACATTTTTATGGGCTGAGAGCACTTTTTTTTTTTTTTTTTTTTAAGAACTCTTCCTGTGTCATGAGAGCACTTTTAATGAGTGCTATTCTTAGCTCCGTTTTACTATCAGGAAACTGAGGCACAGAGGATGATCAACTTACCCAAGTTCAGAGCGCTAGCAGAAATAAAGTGCCACAGAAACACAAATCACCAACACCCGCATCTTCTGATTACAGCAACAGTTATGCTAAATCTTACCTTCAGTCATAATCAACTGTGTATCAAGAGGACATATTTACAGTAACCATGAAAAGCAAATTTGGTCACGTCAGGCCCCCATAGTCTTTATCAGCCTCTGGCATGGCACAGAGGACTTTAAGTACCTGGTGACATGCATTTTCATACTTCCATGCATACTCTGCTCCCTTACCTAAAACACCCATCTTCCCATTCTTTCCAGTAAGTTCTTATGTCTCTATCAAGGTCCAGATAAAATATCTTCTTATTTCACCACTATTTAAGGTACTTAGTAGCTGCCATCCCATACTATCACATTATGCCTCTCTCTCTGTACCAATTAAGCTTTTGTCTCTGCTCCAAACCTCCTGTCCAATACTTTGTGATGCTTAAAGGTGCAATATGCAAACTGAAACCATAAACATTTTGTGCTATGTTACATTAAATCCACTGGAATGCCCTGAACTCTGATTTTTTTTTTTTGAGACAGAGTGGAGTACTGTGGCATCAGCCTAGCTCACATCAAACGCAAACTCGTGGGCTCAAGTAATCCTCCTGCCTCAGCCGCCCAAGTAGCTAATTTTTCTATTTTAAGTGGAGACGGGGTCTTGCTCAGGCTGGTGGTCTTAAACTCCTGACCTCCAGTGATCCTCCCGCCTTGGCCTCCCAGAGTGCTAGGATTATAGGCATGAGCCACCGCACCTGGCCTGAACTCTGAATGTATTTTTAACCATGCATGTTTTATACCATCACGCAATGATCATTTGGATACTATTGGTTCACTAAGTTATACACATCTTCCAAATGTTGAAACTTTTCATTATATCAGATTCATTCCATTATATAACATTATGAAAACACTCACATTAATTAATATTACAAATCTCATTAGAAAAGTCTTTAGGTAGTGAGAAGCTGTCAAGCTCACAGTGGCATTACAACTTTCTCCAATTTTTGTTTGAAACCTTAAATTTTATTAATGGCAAAAAATAGTTGTTTTCTTTGGTTCATTTGAGAAAACATCTGCCATGCCTGAAGAGTTCATCACTCTCTCAAGTGACAGTGGGGAAAAGTTCAACTCACAACTCAAGCATGTTAAGTGTTTTCAAGACAAACCACAGCACTTCAGGATGCAGAAGAGCTTTCTATGTATTTCTGATTTCCTCACACAGAACCTTAAAAAGATGTATTCGATGGTAAAGATCTAGTATATTTATATTGCTCCATCGCTGACATTCTTTTCTCCTTAAAAAATTTCCTATGTTTTTTTTTTAGATATGGGCTCTCGCCATACTGCCCAGGATGAACTTAAACTCCTGGGCTCACGTGAACCTCCTGCCTCAGCCTTCTGAGTAGCTGGGATACAAGCCTGTCACCATGCCCAGCTCCGTCACTGACATTCTTTTTTTTTTTTTTTTTTTTTTTGAGACAGAGTCTCACTTTGTTGCCCAGGCTAGAGTGAGTGCTGTGGCGTCAGCCTAGCTCACAGCAACCTCAAACTCCTGGGCTCAAGCGATCCTGCTGCCTCAGCCTCCCGAGTAGCTGGGACTACACGCATGCGCCACCATGCTCGGCCGATTTTTTCTATACATATTAGTTGGCCAATTAATTTCTATTTATAGTAGATACGGGGTCTCACTCTTGCTCAGGCTGGTTTCAAACCCCTGACCTTGAGCAATCCGCCCGCCTGAGCCTCCCAGAGTGCTAGGATTACAGGTGTGAGCCACCGCGCCCGGCCCATCGCTGACATTTTTAAATGACACCTGCATAATATCACTGCTGTGTATAACGAAATAACTACTGCTAATCTGGTGCCACTGCCTTGATTCCTGCCAACGTGCCAACAGTATTACCTGCCATTACCTTTGTGCTCCTAGTGCAAAAATAACTATTTGTATAGGTTATCATCACAAATAGTTTTCATCTTGGGTAAGGGACTCTAGAGGTCCTTGAGGTCAAAACTATTAACACATTTATTTTAGGAAAAAAAAAACAGATAAAGAAAAAAAAAGTCAGTGGACTTTGTTATCCAAAGATATTTTAAAATTTTGAGTATGTTTAGATTTTTTTCCATGTACACTGACAATATGAAATATCATTCTATACTATTCTATTATCTGCCCTCTTCAAAACAAAGTTAATGAATCAATATCAAAGCATTATAGCATAAGGACATTTTATATTTACCTGATCTTCCCTATTACTGGATACATGTTGTTTCCAATTTTTCATTTTTATAAATAATCTGTGATAAACACAAATATTTGTGTACCTGTCCAAAATTCCTTTTGACAAATTGCTAGAATTGAAATTGCTGACTTTAGGGGTATAAATGTGTACTTAGCACATTACCTGGCAATGTTAGTTATCTGTCAAGAAATCTCAGAGGCCGGGCGTGGTGGCTCACTCCTATAATCCTAGCACTCTGGGAGGCCAAGGCGGGCAGATTGCTCAAGGTCAGGAGTTTGAGACCAGCCTGAGCAAGAACGAGACCCTGTCTCTACTATAAATACAAATAAATTAATTGGCCAACTAATATATATATAAAAAAAAAAAAAATCAGCCGGGCATGGTGTCACATGCCTGTAGTCCCAGCTACTCGGGAAGCTGAGGCAGCAGGATTGCTTGAGCCCAGGAGTTTAAGGATGCTGTGAGCCAAGATGACGCCACAGCACTCACTCTAGCCTGGGCAACAAAACAAGACTGCCCCCCCCCCAAAAAAAGAAATCTCAGAATATGGTAGTTTAAACATTTTTCAAACTGTTCTCTACAAAGGTTTTATCAATTAATACATCAGTAAGGTTTCCTATACCCTAAACATCATGGGTGAGTACCATTCTTCAATCTTTACTGGCTTAATTAGCATTTCTTTAGCTACTATTTAATCTTACAGAGAGAGCTACTATTGTCCCTGTACATAAAAACAATTTGTTCATAACTAGAACTCCTGAAAAAAAAAAAAAGAAGAAAAAAAAAGTAAAAGGAAAATATTTAAAAAAATAATTTGTTCATAACAATCTGCCTTGAAAGATCTCATAATTTAAAAATATAGAAAGAAATTAGCTAGCTGATTTTCGTAAAGGAAGGTAATAAGAAGTATTAAGTATAATACTTAAAAATAGTTATAATACTTGAAAAGTACTAAAACAGTTATATCTCAAGTAATCTTTTACCCCTATGTTTGAGATAAATTATTGGAGGTAGTTCCTTAAATACTCACTTGCTGATTTTCACCTAAGTTATAAATAATGTCATTCATATGTATTTTCTTTTTTCCTTTTCTGTGTTCCTCAATAAACTAAAAAAAAAAACCAGTCGGGTTATTTTAGTTAACCAATATATTTCTTTTTTAAAAAAGATTTTTATTATGACAAAACTACTAATACAAATGAAAAATGAGGTGTTTTTACATGCCAAGGTATTTTTAGAATGAAGAAATTTATGGAGCATCTAACCTGTGGGGCAGGCACCGTGCACAAGACAAAGCCTCTGCCCTTGTAGAACTTACATGTTAATGCAAGACACGGATAAGTAAACAATCATAGTTTCTAATAAAGATGACACCAATTTAAATGATAAATCCAAAGGGCTTAAAAGAATTATATAAATTATGAATATCAAGCAACATTTTTTATTTTTTATTTTTTTGAGACAGAGTCTCACTCTGTTGCCCAGGCTAGAGTGAGTGTCATGGCGTCAGCCTAGCTCACAGCAACCTCAAACTCCTGGGCTCAAGCAATCCTCCTGCCTCAGCCTCCCGAGTAGCTGGGACTACAGGCATGCGCCACCATGCCCGGCTAATTTTTTATATATATATATTAGTTGGCCAATTTATTTCTTTCTATTTATAGTAGAGACGGGGTCTCGCTCTTGCTCAGGCTGGTCTGGAACTCCTGACCTTGAGCAATCCGCCCGCCTCGGCCTCCCAGAGTGCTAGGATTACAGGAGTGAGCTACCTCACCCGGGCTCTCAAGCAACATTTTAAATGAAACTAAAAGATATTAGAAGAGAAAGAACCTTTTTGACATCTACAACATAGCTGCCTTTAGATACACCAGTATGTACACAGGCAGCACAGTCTAGTGGTTGTGCTGGGTGGACTTAGTTTGAATTCTCTTTACTGCAAATTTGCACTATCAAATCACAGGGAATAAAAGCCCTTTAATGGGAGATTATTAACAGAGGCCACATAGTACATTATCTACTTATATCTGAAGTGATAAAGATTGCTTTCTTCATTTAATGACAATGCAAACTACACAGCCACTGACAAATGGCTGTAAGTCACGCCTGTGGCTGATACAGTATACAGTACAGACTGGCTCCCTCAGCTCCATTCCAACCCTTCCACACAGAGCCTGCTGCCTTTCACACTTCTCTTCAACGCAGGCTCCGCGTGGGACCCAGCTCCTCCCCAGCAGATGCAATTCTTTTGAACTCTGAAAGGTAGGAGAGATACCAAGTGGAGGCTGTGCTTCTGCTGTTGCCACAGTGAGCACAGCTGTGGAGGCGCCTGACTGTTCCGGAGCAGCTGAAGCTGAGGTCTCAGCACCAGGTTCTTAGCTTCGTGGGACAGGCATCCATTTATTTTACGGGCATAGGTTATTATCAAAGACAACGTGGTCCTAGAGCCACCTGCTGTGGTAGCAGTTCTTGATTTCCAGCTTCCTGATGGCGGCAGAGACATAAAATCCATGGGTGAGCCAGCCCTGCCACACGGCTGTCCTTCCTGGAAGCTCAGACTGCTCCGTCAGCCCTTCCAAGGATTTTATGAGCACCTACTTTATTCAACCTTTCTGAATTATACACAGTAAACTCTTATAATGAACTCTTAATGACTGCATTTATCTAAAAAAATCTTTTGATTTTGCCATGGGACATGTGAGGTCAAGATTAAGTATTATTTTCATTAAATGGTTACATAAGAGGCGTATTTTTTGATGAAGAGTGGCAAAATGAAGTGTAGATAAGAAACTATCTGCAAAAGTCATATGATCTAGAGAAATGATCTCTAGAAATCTACAATTGTTGGCTGGCCCCAATTCCCCTTTGTAACAGATATAGTACAAAAATTATAAACAGATATATAATTATAAATAGAAATTGAATATTTTCTTACTTGACTGCAGCAAACACATTATCTCCACTTTGAGCAATCATACAATTTTTCTTTGCTTCATTTATACCAACGTATACAGGAAGTTCATCAGGAGAATCCCTGTTTAAGCAAAACATATTAAAAATTAGCTGCCCATAATTTATACTATCAGGCAAGTGAAATTTTAGGTCTACAGACAACTATTTATACCTGTATTTATTTTTTTATTGGAACAAGTTTGCCGAGTTTAAACTCTAAGTTTCTCAGGAATATCTACAACAAATCTTATTTATATAACAGAATCTACAATTAAGATTCTTAGGACCTAGTTGCCTTTATACCCAAATACAAAGGGGGAATAAGGCCTGTTAAAGGAAGTAGGAAAAATTATACACACCATAATTTTAGAGTTTGTAGAAAAGAAAGAAGAGAAAAAAAGGAAACAGGACAGAGGATTATAAAATATTAGAGGTAAAAGGATCCTGTTCATGTATATAGCCAAATCCTTTTTATTTTAAAATTGAGGAAACAAATACAGAGAGGGTAAGTTACTCAGCCAAGGGCCTAGTAAGTTAATGTCTAAGCCAGAAGCAGAATCCATAAAACCCAATTCCCAGTCCCATGTGCATTCTACTGTACCATGATACTTCTTCTGGGCATGTTGGTCTATTATCTTACATTTAAATTCACTGGAAAGGACAGCATCTCTACAGTACAAGTGGACAAGGTATTTTCCCCCTGGCTACCTCTATTTCTTAACATTCTAACCATCTTGCATGCATTCATTTAATCCTCACAATTGCTATCAGGTATGTACAATCATTATGCCATTGTTACAGGAGAGGAAACTGAGTCATGGAAAGTCACGGTCACTAATGACTGTCAGAGGGTCACACTGATAGGCAATAGGGCCCGTCTGACCTCAGAGCCCACTTTTAACTACCAGTTGCCACTCGACGCCATGGAAGCACATAGCTTAAGTCACAACAATTGCTCTAAATTATCTTTCTTGGGCTAAAAGAGCTCTTCTGAACCCAAAAGGGAAAAAAGTTTATAACCACAAAGGAAGAACCAGTGGTATTAAATCTAAAGAGTTCACTCATCCTAAGGAAGGTTCATGTGGTAACAGTAAGAACACCACATGGCTCATGCACCCATGAACAGGGGAAAATGTGCACTTCACTTGGGCACAGTCATACTCATTAAGCAGGACAGCAGCTGTGTTAGAGAAGAAAGGTCCTTTACCTGAAATACCCCATATGGTACTGAGTTTTATTATCTCCAATAATAATGGTCTGGAACTCAGGAGGATCATAGTAAAACCTCCAGTGAAGTTTAAAATTCAGGCCTGTTGATTTTTTCTTCATTTTATGTTTTCCAGCAAGGATATCATAAGGACCCACTAATTGAAGTCCAAGGCTTGCAGAAAGTGAATCTACGAAGAAAATAAGTTTATTTAAACAATACTTTCTGGAGACAGATAGGAAATAATGTCCTTTTTTTTTGTTTGTTTGTTTGAGACAGAGTCTCACTCTGTCACCCCAGCTAGAGTATAGTGGCATCATGATAGCTCACAGCAACCTCAAACTTCTGAGCTCAAGCTATCCTCCTGCCTCGGCCTCCCAAAATGCTAGGATTACAGGCATGAGCCACTGTGCCTGGCCTACTTTGCATGATTTTTTAATAGCACATGATATTCCATTATAAAGAGGTGGCTATTCATCGATTCTATTGATGAACATTTACTATTTCTGATTTTTTTTCTATTCTAAAAATGCTTCAGTGAACATCTTTGCTAATAAGTGTTTGTATACAGTCATAACTATTTTTAGAGAACTGCTGCACAGTTCTATTCTGATATATTGCCAATATTCGATGTACCAATATACATTTCCATCTATAGTGTATGAGTACTTCCTAGTTAAAAAATTTAAACAGGCCGGGCGAGGTGGCTCACGCCTGTAATCCTAGCTCTCTGGGAGGCTGAGGCGGGCGGATTGCTCGAGGTCAGGAGTTCGAAAACAGCCTGAGCAAGAGCGAGACCCCGTCTCTACTATAAATAGAAAGAAATAAATTGGCCAACTAATATATATATATAAAAAATTAGCCGGGCATGGTGGCGCATGCCTGTAGTCCCAGCTACTTGGGAGGCTGAGGCAGAAGGATTGCTTGAGCCAGGAGATTGAGGTTGCTGTGAGCTAGGCTGACGCCATGGCACTCACTCTAGCCTAGGCAACAAAGCGAGACTCTGTCTCAAAAAAAAAAAAAAAAATTTAAACAGTACAAAAGGGTATGTAGTGAAAAGTAACTTCACGCAACCCATCATCAGTTTCTTGTGTATCTTTTCAGAGAGAGTAACCACATGAAAAGTATATAGGGATGTGTGTACCCCCTGACCCTTCTTTAAAAAAAAAAAAGACTAAGGGGAGCATGCTCTATACACTCTTTTAACTTAATGCATTTCAGGCATCATACTATATCATTTCCTAAAAATCTATCTGTATTTTAAAAGTATGAATATCTACTGAATAGATGTGTTATTAATGGGCATTTAAGTCATTTCCCTTTGTTCCAATAAATATCCTTGAACATAACTCTTATTTCATCTGCTCCCTAAGTTCCTAGAAGCAGAACTGCTGGATCAAGTGGAAACTCCTGCAGCACAGCAAACTGCTTGCTTTCCTTCACACTCCCAAAGAACACCATGAAATTACTGACCTTTGCCAATAGGTGACAAAGGTAAATGGCATATTACACCATTAATTTATATTTCTCTTACTATATTTCTCTTGTTAAATTTATCTTTCAAAATGTTCCTTGTGAATTGTTCATAGCCTTGGTCCAGTTTCTTGGTAAGCTTCCTTTTCCACTTACAGAATCATTCTGGAACAACTCACCAGCAGGCTTTTCAGGATCAAGCTCTTCACAGAACTTCCAGAAGTGATAGAAATCTTCAGGGAAAGAGAGCTTATAATGATTTTCTACTTCTTTTCGAAGGTCACTGGAGACATCAGCTTCACAGGATTTACTCTTCTTCACATCAACTGTCTTTTCACACTGAAAATTGGCAAACAAAACTTAATTCTCCAAATTAACTTCAGTAACTTTCCTTGCATCACAACATTGCTCATTCTTGTTCACCAGACACAATGGGATACATGTGTTTTCTTTAAGACTCTCTAAGTGATATTTCTGAGTAAAATCTGGGGGTTCTTTTGGGCTAAGAAAAAAGAACAGTTTATATGGTGATGAAATGGGACCCACCTGTCTTTAAATATACTTCTCTAAAAGAAACAAAAAATAAGTAAACAAACAGTAAAGAGCAAGAAAAGAGGAATAAAGAAAAGGCAGGTTTTGCCCTCTTTTATTTAACAAGATGTCATCATGGCTTTTGTTTAAATTCATTGATCACACCGGAAGCAAATTGTCAGAACTTGATTTAAGGGATTTTCCAGTTAAAAAGTCATTTCTTCAGCAAAGTCCACCGAGAGTTGTGTCTGGCCTGCCTTCAACTTTAAAACAGATGCCTCCCTTTCGACATTCCAAATAAGAGGAAAGGTCAGTGACAATGCTGAGTATCAACAGTCCCTAAGGAGGTTAGCAGAATAGCAGTAAAGTCTAGGCCAAAAATCTAGTTCAGAAAAGCCTTTAATGCCAGGATTAGGTTATAATACTCATCTCTAGCACCTCTGCAATACAGTTTCATTATATAAGTGTGCTAGGTTTTAACATGCTTATTAGATATTTGATAACTTTCTGTAAAGATAATATGCTTAGCTGGAGGTTACTTATCTTTAATTTTCTAAGTAGCAATCCGGTTTTCTTTCTAGAACCTAGATCCTTTCTTTTTGGATTAATCTTTTTCCTTCTGATTCTTCCTATTTAGACCAGAGGTTCTCAACTGTGGGTGATTTTGACCCCCAGGGGACATGTGGTAATATCTGGTGATGTCTGTCACAAACTGGAGATATGGGGTATCAGTGCCGCCTAGTGGGGTAAGAAGCAAGGATGCTGCTCAACCTCCTACAATGCACAGGACAGATCCCCTCAACAAAGACCCATCTGGCCCCAAATGTCAACAGCATTAAAGTTGAGAAATTCCACCCCTGATGTTTCTCATATTTATATTCTTCCACTTTCCTAATAGGCTCAAGTTTATTGATATTAGGTATCAAAGTCTACAAAATGCATTTATGAATCAGATGACACATACAAGAACATTCATGATGGCACTGATTCTAAGAGCGAAAAACAGAACAAATGAAATTACTGTTGGCAGGAGAACACAAGTATAGGAAAAGTTGGGCCTCCCTATATGCAGACTTCATATCCCAGAATACTGTATTTTCCCTCCAAGTTTGGTTGAAAAGAAATCCACAGATAAGTGGACCTCACCAAAGGTCAAACCATATTGTTCAAGGGTCAAGTCTATTTCCTTTTCATTAAGTGTAAATGAAAGAAAGGTTTTCAAACAATAAAATACTACACTTGGTTCCACAGAGCCAACCTCAGGATTTGAATATGCACAGATTTGGATATACGCAGGGGGTAAGGTGTCCTGGAACCAATCCTCTTCATACACCAAGGGACAACTATACAGCTATACACTATGGACCAATCTTAATATATTTAATGAAAAAAAAAGTCCTCAAAAATTATATGCAACATGATAGCCTTTTATGAAGTTCAAAAACAAGTAAACACAAAATTCAGATTAGTAGTGACACTGAATGAATGTGGGTGATAGAAGTGAGGCATACATACACTGATGTACAGCTGTTGTCAGTGTTTCAGAGCTTGGGTTAGGCAATGGGTTCACAGGTGTTTGTTATTAATATATTACTTACCTTAAATAAGGTAAAAAAAATCTATGAATTGACCAATAATCAAAGCTTATTATGCCAAAGATTATTCGCCTCAGGCCATAAAAAAATTAAATTGAACAAAAAGGCTGTAGAAATATGGATCCCTAAGTGAATGTTGATAGCAAACAATAGTAATAATAAAGAAAATAGTAAAAACAATAATACTTAGTGAGCACTATGTGCCATGCCACTGTTCTAAGCACTTTCTATGGATTAACTCATTTAATTCTCAACTACCTTATGACCTAGACACATTCACTTTACAGATGAAAAAACTGACCTTAACTTTCCCTATACCCTTACTAGGAAGTGGAAAAGAACGAACTTAAACCCAGGTTTAAATCTGGCTCCAAAGCACAGATCTTCAACCACTTCCAAATACAGAGAAGTAGGAACGTAACAAATCCTAACCTATCCTGTCTTCTGCTTTTATAACTGTCTTTGGTAAGACTTCCAAAGACTGGCTCCAAATTTAGATGTTGGAAAAGCCAGTTCTGCTGCATAATGCTTAGGTTGCTTGGGTTGACTCCTGACTCTCATTTCTAGCTGACACCTTGCATGAGTTACTTAACCTCTCTGTGCCTTGTTTTCTCACCTACGAAAAGGACATATGTAGTATCTGTATCATAGAGCTGTTCTGAGGAATAAGTTATTATATGTAAAAACACACAGAATAGTCCTAGCACATAACATATAAATGCAGCCCGTTATGGTTGATTATAATAGTGTTTACAGACTCGTCTTCATTTTTGGTATTGTATTTCTAACTGAACCTATCATTTTTTTCAGCTATCCTTTAACCCACATGCTAGCTCAGCATCTCAAAATCCTTAACTAGAACTGAGGACAGCTGTCCACTTCAGAGGCTACACTTATCCTTTATACCCTGGCGTTCCTGCACAACCCAATATGAAGAATGCCTATAACCATGGCCCTCTAACAGTACTTAAGTCCTCTTAACACTGTCTCACCTTGTCCAATTTATAATACAGCCGGAGTAGTTTTTCTAAAACTTTAGTTATCACAATGACTCTCCTTTCCTGCCTGAGTCCCCTTACTGCTACCGCAGCGGTTCTGGAACTTCTGAAATCGTATGACAGTATGAGAGAAAGCACACACTGTCACCCTCCCTCATGAGTGCCCTTATGATCCGGTCCCTCTTACTTTCCCATCTCCCAGGCTCAAGCCAGCAAGACCGCTCCACTGTGCCCCCAAATCCCCTTCACTTTTACGGCTGGGGAATCTCTTATTTTTCTCCTCTGCCTTCGAAAACCATTTTCACACGTGAGCTGCCTTAAGTCTTCCCTAACATCCCCCAGGACTTGTTAAATCCTCCGGCGTTTCCACAGCACTTTTCTACACACCAGCGTTATAACCCCAAACAAAGTTAGAATACACCGCAGATTCACTTGTGCCCGCTTCTCCCGGCGGAGGCTCCACGCAGGGCAGGGGCGGGTGGGTTCATGCCATGTCATGTCTGGCATGTCATCGATGCCCTATCAATCTGGCTGGCCGAATCGGTGAACCCGGGGTCGGCTTACTCTGCGCCCCAGGACCCGCGCCAAGAGGGGTCAGGCACAAGGTTCCCGGCCCAACGCGCGACAGCTGCCCAGCGCAGGACCGGGGCGGACCGCAGCTCCTGGGCACACCGCCGGCGCTCAGTCATCACCGGATGAATGAAATGCGCTGTCACCCCAAGTGCCTCACGGAGCCCACACAGCCTCCCCGGCAGTACCTGCTGTCCCTCCACGCCGGACCTGCGCTTCCCGCCGCCGCCGACCATTCTGCAGCCGCAGCGCCCGCGAAACCGCGCGTTCCGCAGCCGCTTCCTGGAGCCGCCGACTGCTTCCGGGTTCAAGAGCCGCCAATGCGCACGTCTGCGCCGCCGCGGGCACGCGGGTGTGGGGAAGGCCCCGCCCAGGCCCCGCCCACCGCGGGGCAGGGCTGGGGGAGGGGCGGGTTCGGTTCGCGCCGCCGCTGCCTCTCGGCGCCCGCTGAGGCGCTTTCCCGCGCACGTTTGAGCGCGCCGGAGACGCCCGCCGGCCGAGCCTGAGGGTCTCGCTAGCGGCCAGGTTCGGTGCCCGGCGCTGCCCTCGCTCCAGCCGCCTCGTTGTTTTTCTTCATTTGCATTTATTTAAAAGATGAATCTTTCTCTCCATCCCTCGCGCCACTGCTATCGCCGTCCCCGGTTCATCCCGGCGTCTCCGGGAAGCGGTCGGCGTCTGTCCCTGCGCCGGCGTCTGGGCGCGCCCGCGCTGGGAAGTGGGTCCGGCGCAGGCCCTGCGGAATGGGAGCCCGCGTCCAACGGGGTCCCCGGTGACTCCCGTGCACACCGAGGGTGAGGGGGCAGCGGGGCCGCCCGCACCGCACCGCCGTCCGGGAGCGTCCCGCGCCTCGGCCCTGAGGGGGTCGTGTCCTCAATCTGTGTCTGCCTTCCTCTTGATTTTATACCCTCGCTTTTTGTTGTTTTTTCCACACCATATCAATAATCACTTTATTATTTTTTTTTCCCAAGAAGTTCGAGAGAAGATTTGTTATTTTATTCCAGTAGGTTTAGGGGTGCAAGCGTTTCTTGTGCTAGAGATGGGTTGTAGCACGCGGGGTCAGGGCTTTGGGGGCGCCAGTCACTTTGGTGTGCGCTGCCCCCCGCGGGTATTTATCCCTTTATCCCTCGCCCTGTCCCACGCTCCCCCCGTCTTTATTTCCAGGGTGCATTCCACCGCGTTACGACCGCATGCACCCGTCCTTATTCCTTCGTCTTGAGGGACAATCCTCCGGGAGTTTCTTGCAGAACGTTGCGGTTTTTCCTCAGCGCATGCGTGTCTGCGTTTGCCCTCACCCCGGCCGGGCAGGGTTGCAGGTGGAAAGTGACCTCCACTGAGAATGTTGGAGGGCACATTACCCCACAGTATTGTATCTTCCAGTGTTGTTGAGAAACCCTGTCATTGTGGTTCCTGCTCCTCTATAAGTGGCTGGATTTCCTTTCGTATGCAACCTGCTTTTGTTTCTGTTTTGTCCTGTCTCAACGAGTTTTACGGTCTTTATTCCCATTGTGGTAAGACAGTCATGTGTCTTGCCTGTGGGTCTTCTGAGCTAGCCCTTAGTGTGGTTGTTTTCCGTCTTGAAACATATTCTTCTTCGGCTCTGGGGATTTTTCTGGTATTGTTTGTTAATTTCCTCCACCACCCACCTCTGTGATTATACCTGTTCTTATTCTGAAATTCATTATTTAGCCGTTGGACCTTCTTGACTGATGTTTTTTTCTTTTCTTATTTGTCTTCTTTTTTTTGAGACAGAGCCTCACTCTGTTGCCCGGGCTAGAGGGCCGTGGCGTCAGCCTAGCTCACAGCAACCTCAAACTCCTGGGCTCAAGTCATTCTCCTGCCTCAGTCTCCCGAGTACCTGGGACTAACAGGCATGTGCCACCACGCCCGGCTATTTTTTTTTCTATGTATTTTCAGTTGGCCAATTCATTGCTTTCTATTTTTTAGTAGAGACAGGGTCTCACTTTTGCTCAGGCTGGTTTTGAACTCCTAACCTGGAATGATCCACCCACCTCGGCCTCCCAGAGTGCTAGGATTACAGGCGTGACCCACTGTGCCCGGCCTGTCTGTCCTATTTTCTGTCTTCATCTTTTTGTTCTACTTTCTAAATGACTTTTACAACGTAGACAACGCCTGTCAAATTACTTCCTTTTATTATACCTTAGTTTCTAAGTGCTCTTTTTATTCTCTGTTCTTTTTATAGCATCATGTTCTTTTTTTTTCATGGATGTAGTTGTTTTTATCTCTGAAGACATAAATTACAGGGTTTTTTAAAGTGTTGTACATAACTCTGCACTGGCTTTGATTCTTTTCAGTCTTTTTCGGTTGCTCTTGTGTTTGGTCTCTGTCCTTTATGCTTCCCCATCTTATGTGGCGATCCTTGCTGTCAATTCGCATGTAACGGTAATGCTATAAAAGGTGCTCTGGGGACATAGGCAAGGCTGGTCAGGCTGCTGGGCAAAGTGTAAGATGATGGGGCCAGGGCCCAGCTGTTTGTTCTGTGACAAACAGTAATCTTCTAATTGCTTGCTTTGGGATTATATTGCTTTTTTGGACCCCAGTCTGGGAAGGAGGCTGGCGATCTTAATCACTTCAGCATATACACTGTATTAGTCAGGGTTCTCCAGAGAAACGGAACTAATAGGATAGTCATATCTATATCTATACCTCTCTCTGTTCGGTCTATCTATATATAAATTCACAGGATTATGGGGGTTAAGTCCCACAATCCGCTCTCTGCAAGCTGGAAACCCAGAAAGCTGGTGTTGTAGCCTGAAGCCCTGAGAGCCAGGGAGCCCACGGGGTAGGTTCTAGTCTGAGTCTGAAGGCCCGAGAACCACAGTCATTGAAGGCAGAAAAAGATCGAAGTTTCAGGTCAAGAAGTGTGGCAGAAAGAGAATGAATCCTTCTGTGGGAACAAGAGTGACTTTATTTTTAAATGCCAAATCACCTGACTAAGTCCGAGTCTGGGAATATCTCCAAAATATCTAGTTGATGTATTACTCGTTATATAGGAAAACCTATTCAATATAAGTTTCACCTTTCCTCTAAAACAACCCATGATGCCGGTGCCCTGTGACTCCAGCAGCATTCTCTCAGCTAGCGACATGTTCCTTCCAGAGCATGTGTACTTTCCCCCCAGATATAAGTCCTTGCTCCGAGGTTTGCCGTAGGGAGATCTACTTGTCTTGTGGCTGCTTAAGAGCACGCCTCTGTCCATAAGTCCTTCTGAAAAAATCATCCTATAGTGACAAAGTAGATTTGTCTGCCTCATTCTTTGGTTTTATTACTTCTTTGGCATTTGCGGGTCACGCTGCATATGTGACGTTTTCATGAAACACCTTCTTTCCTCCACATTTTTGTTTTATTCAGACGCTGAATGGATTGGATGGTGCCTGTCCACACTGGCGAGGGTAATCTGCTTGTTCCACACCCTCACAGACACACTCAGGAATAATGTTTAACCAGACATCTGGGCATCCAGTGATCCAGTCAAGTTGACACACAAAGACTCCAGTTCCATCCATGTTGCACAAATGACAGAGTTTTCTTTTCCATTGTGTGTATACCACATTTTCTTTATTCATCAGTTTTCTTTATTCATCAGACTCTTGGGTCGTTTTCGTATCTTGGCTATTGTGAATAGTGCTGCAGTGAACATGGGAGCACAAAAACCTTTTTGACATACTGAATTCAGCTCCTTTGGATATTTGCTCAGAAATGGGATTGTTAGATCATTTAGTAATTCTAGTTTTAGTTTTTTGAGGAAACTCCATACTATTTTCTGTAACGACTGTACCAATTTACCTTCCCACCAACAGTGTACAAGGATTACCTTTTCTCCATATCCTCCCCAATGCTTGTTACTTTTTCTTTTTGATAATAGCCATTCTAACAGGTGTGTCATGATAGCTCATTGTGGTTTTAGTTTTCATTTCTCTGATAATTAGGGATGTTGAGCGTTTTTTCATAAACCACAACTGGTGCTAAGTGCTTTACTAAGATTAACTCATTTATTCCTCATAACAATCTTATTAAATAATTACTACTTTTATGCTAATTTTACAGATAAGGCAGCTAAAACTCAGAGAGGTTAAACAAATTGTCCAAGGTCACGCAGCAAGCTTTTACAGTGGGATTCAAGCCCGAATAATCTGGAATCCAGAGTACTCTAGGACGCTATATAATACTGCCTGTCTAGCGTCAGTGCCAGGGGTTTCAGGAGCTACGTAGTTGCACTCAATAAGGTCTGGAGTTCAGAGAGCCACTTACAGTTTTTAATCCTGTTTTAATTAGGAAATTCATGTCTAAAGGATGCATCATTTTGACTGTATCCTTTGAACCTCCCTTTAATCAAGAAGGTGGACCAAACTGTGGGGTTCTGATTGTCAAAATGGTCACTAAAAGAGGAAAAAAGGATATGCAACAATTACTTTGTGTTGCCCTCTTTATCAGAGACATTTTTGTCACTACTTTGGGAAGATAACTTATCTTCTTGTCTGCTAGGGCTAACTGTGCCTTCCTCTTGTCTATATAGTAACTAATTGCTACAACATTAAGTAAAATTTGGAGGAAAAGTCTTGAAATTTTTACCTTCCCAAAACTTTTTTTTACTCTAATAAATTGGTCATAAATAATATCTTCTTTTGAGATTTAGATCTTTGAAAGACTTTTTTTTTAAGTCTTCTCAATGAAACAAACCAAAATTTCCCTAGAATTAAGCTACAATATCACCATAGCTTTGTATCAGATTGTTGACCTTATTGGGAAAAAATTATATTTGGATTATTTTTCTTTTTTTCCCCAAATCTAGGGTAACACAATTATCACCAGTATACTTTAAGATAAAAGTCGTTTTTGGGAATGGTGCTGGTGAACTTGTATGGAAAAATTCTCAGGAGAATTGGTTGGTGATTGCCAGGACCTCTAATTTTCCCTTAAAGAATTATGATATTTAAAAATATGTTTTCATAGAAATATATGTCAAAGAAATATGTAGAATGTGATTCTATAAAACTTTGATGCATAAGAAGTCAAACCTGGGCTACCAAAACTCTGTAGTGACAAATAAGTGAAATGTTAAAATGGTATAGTTCAAGGTTCTCAAACCAAACAGAATGCTAAAAAGGAGAAGGATCTTAATCAAATACAGATTTAGAAAACATGTACCACAACAATAAAGACAGTGAAATGTGTATCTCTTTTAGATCTAAGAGTTCCTGACTTACTCTGTGGGTGGTGGGCAGTTAGTGAAACATGGACTGAGAAAAGACAGAAAATGGAAGCAGGAATTCTTATGTATCCTTTAAAA